GATGTGCCTCAAATCCAGATCGTGCGAGACAATGTTGACAAAGTCATCCAAGAATGCATTGTGGCGCGATAGGGGTATGCGATCGAGAAAGGGACAAACTGCCTTGACGTTATCTGAAAATTTCGAAAAAAAAACAATTATTTATGGAAATTAGCGTTTTTTTTTTTCAGTTTAACACCTTTTAAGGTCTCCAAGCCCTCATAAATGTAGACTTTCTCTTTGAGATCCACCTGGATGTCGGTGAAACCAGTTTCCTTTAGCATTTTGGTGTACTCCATTTTTGGATCGCTGGAATAGTGTAAGGGGGAAATAAAACGATGTACATCTTTCATGTAGGGTGACCATTGAGTGGATTTGCTGAGCAGCTTGTAGACATCAAATACCGGATTTGTGGCCAGGAAAACCAGTAGGCAGTCTCCACCCTCTGGGCGCAAGAGATCGTAAATATTTTGCAAGGCTTGTCTGAAAATCGAAATAAAAAAAATATTGATTTCGAAAATATTCCCTCTCCCCGCCTCCCCTCACCTACCTTTGATTCTGTATCCAGTGTAGACAATAGAACGATGTCACATGATCAAATCCCCCCACCATGTCCTCTGGCAGCTTATCCTTTGTGGCTATGTCCAAAACCCGGAAACTACACTGCTTCTCTCGGCTATAACACTTCTCGGCAAACTGCATCATTTTCCGTGAAACATCCGAACCCACAACGCTTTGAAACTGCTTCGGCATTATGGGATAGATAAAATCCATGAGAACATCTCCCGAACCGGTACCCACATCTAGCAGGCAATCCAAGCCATCATGGCGCCACTCAAATTTCTCGGCATATTCTTGGAGAATTTCTTCCGCATCGTAACGCTGTACCTCATTAGCACGCTGATAGAGGCAGGCCTGATTCATGCTGAGGGCTATGAATGAATTTTGTTGTTGTTGAAGGTTTCTCTCTCTCTCGCTCTCTTGACTCTGTTTGGGGGAGGGAGCACAACGCGTTGTTAACAGACGGCCGCTTCGATTGACATTAAATCGTATTCTTCCCGGAATATTTTCTTTTATACGAATTTCACTGGAAACGTTCGTTGTTCCGCGCCAGTGGCTTCTCATTATTCGCTGTCATTCATTCATTCATTCATTCACCTTCTATTCGTATTCAAATGTAACGCGATTTGGAAGCTGAATTTTAAACATTCTCCCATTGTTGTTCATCTAAACATAGCGAGAATGTGTCAAGAGGTGATCTTTTCAATTTTCACTGTCACGGCCATAGCAACGACAACGACAATGGCATCGGCAATGCGTAGTTGTGAGGGTTGTTTTTCCTGAGGGGGACAGCCAATAATGAATGCATTTACAATCGAATTGTTTACAAACAAATCGATCGCCCACACGGCGCTACGCCCATGACATGTCGTCTTATCAGTCAATGGGTTTTTCTAATACTTTTCGACTATTGATTCGTGGGCCATAAATTGTATTTGAAATTGTTCAATTGTGGCATTGAAAATTAAACAATTGGTCCCAGAGGTCCATCTAATGTTTCATTTTCAAATTTTCTAATGAGATGGAAATTATTGGGTGGCAATGTTAAAATTTGATTTAAAAAAAGTATCAGTACCGGATTATGAAACATAGTTTGAGAACTGAGCACTAGTTAGAAATTATCATTCGGATTTGTCGACAGATTTAGACTCTCAGCCTTCCACAGTATACACGTGTATGAACTCTTACATACCATGGGATGGATGGATCAATAAATCTTCAAAAAAATATTACTTCAATTTAGAATTTCAAAATATTTCATTATTTATTTTTCCCTATGCGATTAAATGTTGTTGTAACGTTTCTACATGATAAAAATTAAAATCAGGAAAGGAAAATTCAAAATTCGGGCGGGGCCGACAATATGATACCACTATGCACCACTATACATATTCCGTAGAGCTTCCGTAACAAAAGAATGTTCAAGTATATCATACCATCTATCAACATTTGGCTTTAGAGCAGTTATAGTTCGGTATAGAGTGCATATATCACTTGGAAGAGGATTATATTAAACCATTAAAGAAAGTCATAAGTCGGGCGGGGCCGACTTTATGATACCCTACACCACTTTGCTAATTTAGTAGAGCACCACATAACAATTAAAAGTTTTTATGGGAGAATTCAATCATACACGCTATGATTATAATTATAATTTAATATTCAAAGGACTAAATATGGAGAAGCATTTGTATCTTTTAAATTCGGACTTGTATTTCCCATTTGGTGCAAAATTAATTTGAAATCATATAAAGATATCCAAATCTGAACCGATCTCGATAAAATTTGGCAAAAATATTTCTGAGCTGTATTTGATATATTTCCCTGAATATCGTTGTTACGGAGTGCATATTACGGCTGTAGGTAACAAATACAACAAATCGGATGAACAATATATATGGGAGCTATAGCTATATCTGAACCAATCACCACCAAATTTGGCATACTACCTTCTAGGCTAAATTAGGTCGTATGTGCCAAATTCCATCCCATTTGGGCAAATATTAGACGTTTGGTGCACAATAAAAGGTAAATCGGACGAAGTTATATATGGGAGCTATATCCAAATCTGAACCGATCTCGATAAAATTTAGCAAAGGTATTTCTGAGCTGCATTTGATATATTTCCCCAAATATTGTTGTTACAGAGTGTATATTACGGCTGCGGAGGACAAAAATAACAAATCGGATAAACATTATATAGGGGAGCTATAGCTATATCTGAACCGATTTGGATCAAATTTGGCATACTTATTTTCAGACCTAATTTGGTTGTATGTGCAAAATTTCATACTATTGGGGCTGATATTACACGTTTGGTGCACAATAAGAAGCAAATCGGACGAAGATATATATAGAAACTATATCTAAATTTTTACCGATTATCTCCAATTTCAATAGGGTTCGTCCTTGGGCCAAACAAATATTGTTTGCAAAATTTCATCTCAATCGGATAATAAATGCGACCTGCATTTTGTTCACAAGAATACATGGAAAGACGGACGGACGGACGGACGGACGGACTGACATGCATAAATCAACTCAGAAAGTGATTCTATGCAGATCGTCGAAAGGAACTAAGGGTCTATCTCGTTTCCTTTTGCCTGTTACAAACAAATGCATAAAGACATAATACCCTGACCACCTTGTGGTGTAGGGTATAAAAAGTGCAAGAACCTAAACCGCAACGGAAAGAAACTAGACTCAAAAGAGCTAAAGAGTCGCTTCGAGTGGTGAACTGCCGAATTTGGTTTTCTTGTAAACAAACAAAATAATCGTGTTTACTTGCCAAATAGGTCAGCTGAAAATGTGCACCTTCGGTTGACCACCAGAACTCAAGTGCCGGCCATGGTGATGGTGTGGGCCGCCATAACAGCTGATGGTCGCTCTCCGCTCGTATTAATCGACTGTATGCCCTATATTATCGCGAAAATATTGTGGAGGGTGTATTAAAGCCGTGGGCACGCAATAATTTTGGCCGCAGACTTTGGATATTCCAACAGGACTCAGCACGCGCCACCCAAGAATGGTTACAAAATGAGGTTCCTCCCTTCATTTCCAGCGCACAATGGCCACTAAAATCTCCGGATACCAATCCGTTGGACTGTGTCTGGAGTATTGTGGAATGCAAGGTTGGCACTAAAAAATACCAAAGTGTCGATCACCTGAATGGGCAAAAATACCGCAGAGCAGCGTTCGGGTATCGTGTGACGGTTTCATTGGCCGTTTGCAGGCCATAATTCGTGCCAAAGGTGACAAATTCAAACAAATCTAAAATTAAAAAAATTTGATGCTATTTCCGACATTTTTATACCCTCCACCATAGTATGGAGGGTATATTAAGTTTGTCATTCCGTTTGTAACACCTCGAAATTCACATTTTAGACCCCACAAAGTATTTGTATATTCTTGATCAGCATACAATTCTATGTCAATGTCCGTCCGTCTGTCCGTCTGTGGAAATCACTCTAGCTTCCGAACGAATTGAAGTAGATTGATAACATTTTGCTCAAATGTATGTTATGTCTGCAGGACTTTTGGTATTGAAAATGGGCCATGTAGGTCTACGTTTTGGTATAGCCCCCATATAACGGTACCTCCCTATATTCGATATTTTGACGATTTTAGCGAATTTATTCACCGGAATAGTTTCAAATTTGGTATTTAAAGTTCGTAATGGATACTGAAGCCTAAGATAGAAAAATTGTCTGTGCAGGTCCAACTCTTCGTTAAGCCCCCATATAATGGTACCTCCCCGATATTCGGTATTTTAATGATTTTATGGGCATTTTTCACCAGAATTGTTTCAAATTTGGTATTTGAAGTTCGTAATGGATACTACACCCTATGACAGAAAATTGTCTGTGCAGGTTCACGTCTTCGTATAGCCACCATATAACGGTACCTCCCGATATTCGGTGTTTTGGTTTTATCGACATTATAACCGATTGTAATGGCTTATGACAAATGTTACCTATGAAGGTCCACATCGTCGTTTAGACACATATGACGGCTACATTTGGTATTTTTAAGATTTTAACCGAATTTTTAATGGATTTTATTTATTTTTTTTTTTTAAATTGCCAAATTCGTTCCAAATGGTGGAGGACTTTTTTACTAGTTTTTTTATTATTTCCCATATCGAAACAGTGAATATTTATTGACCCTAAATGTCATTCACAAGTATCTATTCCCAATCATTTGCTAATATCTTTTGTTTATAGTATCACACGTTCAGCCCACTGCAGTTCATCGACCTAAAACTGTACAAAAAATTATTTTAAAATATTCAAAAAATGGTGTCTTGAACTTGACCTTGTTGTGATAGTTTGTAATTGCTTTCGAAAATATCTTTGTCTTATTTCAAATACAATATTGAATAGAATAACTGAAAGTCATTGTAAAAATGTGTGAGATTCAATATATTCAAAAACTGATTATCATCAAAAAAATCTGTTGGATAGTGGACACGTGGGATATAGAATTTTATTATACAATAAGTTGATATAAATATGTGTATAATAAATTTATAAATACAATTTAATTATTTTATTAATTTCAGATACAAAAAAATTTCAAAAAATACAATTGTTATGTTTTATTTTTATTTACAATTGTATCTCAAATTTAAATTCGCTTTTCATCGTCTGGCAAAAATTATCAACTGTTCAAAGGGAAAATTAAACGCCCCCTGACGTACACAATTGAAAAACTTAAAATGCGGTTTAGCTTTAATCATGGCCTCGGCAAAATCATTCATAAATTCATCCTGTAACTCAGCTGGAATACGATGTGTATAGTGTGAGACAGCTTTCATGTTTTCTGTGGAGAAAATCATACATTTTAAATATGAATTAAAACTTGAAAGAAATTTGAACTTACTTTTAAAATCCTCTATGCTGCCATAGGTATAGATTGTTGGTCTCAACTGTACGTGGACGTCGTGGAAACCACAATCGCCTAAAATTTCCTCCACTTCTCCAACTGGATCGTAGGCATAATGCCAGGAACAGGTGTACTTTTCAACGTCGACCATATAGGAGGACCACCGTTCGGTTTTACTCAAATGCAGATAGGCATCGTAGTAGGGGGAGCGAGCAAATGCAGTCAAAAGGCAATTACCCCCACTAGGTCGTAGAAGAGAGTAGATGTTTTGAAAAGCTTTTCTGGAAAAGAAAAAATGTCTTTTTTATGTATATTCACAATAGGAGAGGAAGGTCTTCTATAGATGAAAAATTATTATCGGTCTTTTATAGTTAGGATAGAAAGTATTCGTGGTAAGTTGTTGGTGAGAATCTTGTGTAAAAAAAACTTCGATATTTTATAGATGATCATCTATCTATATGTATACAAGAATAGTGGAATAACTGACTGATCTTGAATCAACGTCCAGAAGCTGGAATGTTGAAATTTTGCACGAAGTTCAGTCTTGGTACGTAGGCGTACGATAAGTCGTGCTTTTTGAAAATTCGTATCGAAAGGTGTACGAAAAGTACTAAAATGTACTAAAAATTAAATACAGGGTGAGATAAAAAAACAACAAAAAAGCCAAACGCCATAATTTTATATTTTTTTAAATTTTATTGAATGTAAGGAAAAATGTCGGAAATATCATCAAATTTTAGAATAAGTTTAGATTTGTTCGAATTTGAATTTGGCACGAATTATGGCCTTTAAATGGCCAATGAAACCGTAATCGGCACTTTGCTATTTTTTAATGCCAACCTTGCTTTCCACAATATTCCAGACAGAATAGACCAACGGATCGGTATCTGGAGATTTTAGTGGTCATTGTGCGATGGAAATGAAGCGAGGAACCTCATTTTGTAACCATTCTAGGATGGCGCGTGCTGAGTGCGATGGTAGTGAGTCCGGTTATAATGTCCAAGGTCTGCGGCCAAAGTGTTTGCGTGCACCATCCAAAAAATTTTTCGCGATAATATTCGGTATTTATTCTAATATTCGATTAATGCGAGCGGAGACCTCGTTGGCAAGTAATCATGATCATTTTGTTTATTTACAAACTACTGGACAACGAATGTTTTCTCTTCGGAAACGGAGAAAACCAAATGCGGCAGCTCACCACTTTCGGCCAAGCAAAGCAACTCTTTAGCTCTTAAGTCTATTTTCTTTCTATTGCGGTATAAGTTCTTACACTTTTTGGAATTTCAATGGCTTTATCCCGAGCTCATTTTTCAAAATTTTCCGAACGGAATATTGCGATATGTTCAGCTCACGAGCCATCTTTCGGCCACGCGGGTTTCGATCAAGTCACTTCTTTATTTTTCGAAATGCTTTTGTACGCTTGTAAACAATATAATGAGCTGCCAATGAAATAATTTTAACAGTTGTCAGACGAGTGGCTTAGAAATGACAGCAGTCTGAAGTTGGCTGCAGTTTTTTCATCTCACCCTCTATATATATTTTTATACCCTCCATCCATACATACATAGTATGGAGGGTATATTAAGTTCGTCATTCCGTTTGTGACTCATCTAAACAAGAATTTTAGACCCAACAAATTATATATATATATTCTTGACCAGCGTAAAATTCTAGGATGATTTAGCCCTGTCCGTCCGTCTGTCTGTAAAATTTTGCACAGATCCGTATTTTGTCTGCAGGCAGGTTAAGTTTAAAGATGGGCTGTATCAGTCCACGTATATCGTATATCCTCCATATAACGGTACCCCCCGATATTCGGTATTTTTCTGACTTTTTTGTCTAAAATTCTACACTAGGGGTTCCTTGCGATTACTTCTTTCCCGACAAGAGAATTGTCCATATAGGTCCACGATATCGTTTGGTAATTTTATGATTTCAGCCGAATTTTTCAATGGAATTGTCCTAAAATCCACACAAGGGGTTCTTTCGTAGTATTTTGTGCCCTAGGAGAGAATTGTTTATATAGGTTCACGTTTTAGCATTGCGTTCATATAACGGAACCCGCAGATATTCGGTATTTTCATGATTTTTGCAACATTATTCACCAAAATTGTTTCAATTTTCGTATTTGAAGTTCGGAACCGTTACTACAGCCTATGGCAAATATTACTTATGCAGGACCACATCTTCGTATAGTCCCCAAATAACGGTTTTTATTAGAGCGAAATTTTTCAATGGAATTTTTTTTGAACAACTTCAAATGTTGACGGTATAAAAAGTTCGGCCTGATAATTTTCTTGTTTTGATTTTAACTAGTAACGAGTGGAAATACAAATTTTCAATGTATGGACGAAAATTGTGCTAGGATAGCACATATCAGCACAATTTTAAATTTTCCAATATCTTCTAAATATGCGATATTGAATTTAACGAGTAACGAGTACAAATCAACACAACAACAAATTTCCAAAATTCCAAATTTCTCAACAGCTCTACAATATTTTAAATTTTTTAGCAACTAACTAGTAAAGGTAGACATTCGTTAAGTATGGACGAAAAATTGTACTAAGTGAGCACAACTCAGCACATTTTACCGCATTTCGACCTTTTAATTTTTAAAATATAACAGGAATTTTTCTGAAAAATGCTGGTTGTTTTAAAATAAAATCGAAAACGGTTGAAGACATTGACGGCACAAGTTCGATCACAACCCAGCACAACACTTACTATTTCGAAATTCAAAAATTGCAACTCTGGCAAGCTTCCGAAATTGTCGTTTTCGACAAAAAAAAATGAAGGGCACAAATGAGCACAATCGGAAAATTGGTATTCTCTCCGATTTTTTCGAAAAAAAAAATTTTCGAATATCACAGAAATTTTTTTCGAATTCCAAATAAAAACCAGCAAGGGAAGCTCAAAAGTCGGGCGACTATATGATAGCCTATACCACTATGCATATTTAGTAGAGCTCTCTTAAAAGAAAGGTTTATATTGGGTATTTCTGAGCTCTATGAGATATCTGGTACAAAATATGATTAGGGTAAAGTGCATATTCCGAAAGATGGAGATTTAAACACCAAATCGCGTGAAACATATGTATGGAAGAAAATTTGAAGTTCTTGCTTCTATGCTAAATTCGGTTGAAATACGTTTGTCTAATATTAGCCATTTGGTGCACAATAAACCTGAAATTGGATAATGATATGGGAGCTATATCCAATTCTGAACCGATCTTTATAAAACTATAGCTATATCTGAAGCGATTTTCACCAAATTTTAAGTACAATCTTCTTGAATGCTTGGAAGTGCAACATTTCACTCACTTTAGGCTGAAATTTGCCATTTGGTGCAGAAGAAACCTAAAATCGGACGAATATATATAGGAGAGCTATATCCAAATCTGAACCGATCTTGGTAAAATTTGAATTATGTATTGCTAAGCTGAATCTAATATCTGGTACTAAATATCATTTTTGTGGGGTGTATATTACAAATGTGATATACACCCCACATCGAATGAAACATATATATGGGAGCTATAGCTATATCTGAACCGATTTCCACCAAATTTAAAGTACTTTCTATTTTTAACAACAACACCTAATTCGGTCGGAAGTGCCAAAATTCCACCATTTGCACTGATATTAGCCATTTGGTGCACAAGAAACCTAAAATCGGATTAAGATAAATATGGGAGCTATATCCAAATTTAAACCGAACTTGATAAAATTTGATCTATAAATTGCTAGGCTGTATCTGATATTTGGTACTAAATATCAGTCTTGTGGAGGGACATAAACACCAAAACCGGATGAAACATATATATGGGAGCTATGGCTATATCTGAACCGATTTTCACCAAATTTGAAGCACATGCTTGTAGGCTGAATTCGGTCGGATGTAGCAAAATTCACACCATTTGGACTGATATTAGCCATTTGGGGCATATGAAACTTAAAATCGGATGAAGATATATATGGAAGCTATATTTACATTTGGACCGATTTTCACCAATTTCAATAAAGTTCGTCCTTGAACCAAACAAATGCTATTTACAAAATTTCATTTCAATCGAATAATAAATGCGACCTGCATTTTGTTTACAAAAATACATGGACAGACGGACGGACAGACAGACAGACGGACGGACGGACGAGTCAAAATGTGGTTCTATGCTATGGTGTAGGGCATACAAATCGGCACAATTCAGCACACAACATATGCAGTAGTAAAAATTTAGAACCCACATCAAGCACTAAATCTCAGAATTAAAAAAAAAACATGACACTATTTTGTACTCATTTTCTAAAAACTATTGCCTTGAATTCATAGTGACCCACATGCGGATGAAAGATTTATACCTACAATATTTTTCCCTTTCTTGGGATTAAGTATTAATTTTTTACAGTTTTCCCAAAATTTTCACACACACCAACACTTCACAAATAGTGACGTCATACAAATTTCAGAATTCTGACATAGCTACTTCGCATTAAGTACATTTCGTATGTCTAGTACACAAAAACACATTTCGTAAAATCATATTTCGTCTTTATGCATCTGTACACATTTTAATAATAACTAATAACTTACCTTTGATTTGGTATCAATTGCAGACAAAAGAACGACAACAAATGATCGAATTGTCCCTTCATATCACCTGGTAATTCCCCGGCAATATTTAGAACACGAAATTCACAATTTTTGATTTTCTTGCCATAATGTTTTCGACCATATTCCACCATATTCGAATTTAGATCTGAACAAACGATTCTTTTAAATTGTCTGCCAAATAAAGGACAAACCACTTCCAAAAATACATCACCAATGGCTGAACCAATATCGATTATTGTATCCAATTTTTCTGAACGCCAATTAAATTTGGGAGAAAATTCCTTTGCGATTGAAGCTGCATTTGCCCGTTGCAATTCGTTTGTTTCCTGATAAAGTTTTGGATTATCCATTTTCAACACAACCGTTTTGAATAGGAAACGTTAGAATACTCAGTAAAATGTAGCACTTTGGATTGCACTTTTTATGTACTTTGGCAAAAATAGCAGTTTAATTAACCCATAAACTACCAAATTGTTATAAAAAAAGTTAAAAAACTATTTTTTTATATATTGAATTGAAGTACAATGAACATGGGAAATAAAGATTTGAAAAAAAAAAAACTTGAATATCTTTTATATTCCAAAATTTTTCTAACTTTTAAGATTTGTTGATACCCCTGCACCGATTTAAGGGTTAATCAAATCATTTTAATTACGCATTAATTGGTATTGTTGATGTACAGAAATGCTTATTTTTAAGAAATTACCGCCAAATAATTGTTATTGAAACAAGTGTTCTCATGGGGGGGTAAACAAGGCTTTGGTTGCCGCCCATTCTATAAACATGATTTCACTATGCCGCACACGTCTTAAATAAAAAATGGATCAAAAGTCAATTGGAATCAATAATATATTCACTTAAAAATCAAAGTTTAGTAAATGAGACTGGCATAACTCAAAAAATATGTTTTTGGGTTTTCAATCTATCTTCTTATCAAATTTTCACGTTGACAAAGGTAGAACTAAATAATTTGCAGCTCTTCATGTCCTACAACACTATGTGTTGATTGGCCAAAAATTATGTAACACCCCCACAATATTGGTACAAGATATATGTTTATCAGTCCATATTAAATTGTTATTATGCTACAAGTCGTAAATATGGCCCCAGATTCACGAATTGCTGCATGGTCAGGATAGAAGACTATTGTTTGTGGAGATAATCGCAAAATATTTAGGGGTTGAAATGGATAAAAACAGAAAAATTTCTTGATTTTGCAGTTGCTCTAGAGGTCACAATTATAGGCCAATCGACTTGGAATTTAGCATGGGGCCAACTTGGATGGTCATCGAATAGTATTTGGCAGGTGAAACCATAATGTTTATTAAACCGCGATATTTTTAATTATACGAAAATATCACTTCTAACCTTCAGATTGATGCTAATATCTAAGATATCGTCCGTTCGTCTGTCTGTCTGTCTGTTGAAATCACGATACAGGCCACATTTGACGTAGAGCTTCAAAATTTAACAGAATAATTTGTATTGTGTTTAGGATGGGTGGTATTGAAAATGAGATATATCGGTCCACGTTTTGGTATAGTCCCCATATAACGGCACCACCCGATATCCGGTATTTGGATGATTTTTGCCACACTTTTTCGCGGATTTGTCTGAAAATTGGTATTTTTAGGTCATAATGGGTCCTAATTCGTGTGGCAAAGCATTGTTTGTGTAGGCTCAGGCTATGGTATAGCCCCCATATAACGGTACCTCCCGATATTCGGTATTTTGATGATTTTTGCCCCTATTTTTTATGGATTTTTCTAAAATTTGGTATTTGTTGGTCATAATGGGTTCTATTTTCGGTGGCGAAACATTGCATGTATAGGTCCACGTTTTGGTATAGCCCCCATATAGCGGTACCTCCCGATATTCGGTATTTTGATGATTTTTGCCATATTTTTCACGGAGTTGTCTGAGAATTGGTATTTGTAGGTCAAAATGGGTCCTAATTCGTGTGGCGAGACATTGTATGTATAGGTCCACGCTTTGGTATAGCCCCATATAACTGTATTTCCCGATATTCGGTATTTTGATGGTTTTTGTCACATTTTTTCACGGATTGGTCTAAAAATTGGAATTATAATAATAATAATAGGTTCTAGCTCTGTTGGCGAAACATTGTATGTATAGGTTTACGTTTTTTATATCCCTACATAGCTGTACCACACGATATTCGGTATTTTGATGATTTTTGCCACATTTTCCCACGAATATGTCTAAAAATTGGTATTTGTGGGTCATAATTGGTTCTAATATTTTCTTTACTTTACTTCTTTACTTTTGTTATTTACTTTTTTTGTGGAAGAAAATAATATAATAACATAATTGTGAAAATATTTTTATACCCTCAGCCATATGGCTAGAGAGGGCCAAAACGTGCCTCATCGAAATAACTATTTTAGACACTAGGTCTCTTTGGACCAAATCCGTTTCAGGACATTTGGAGTCGATCTAGCGATGTCTGTCCGTCTGTCTGTCTGGATGATGACGATAGCTCTCGAATGGAGTATCCGATTGGATACTCTCATCGTAATAATATTGCTAAACTTAGATCGAGTTCGGAGATGGCAATATCGGTCCACTACATCAAGTACCTCCCCCACAAAATGTCAACATTTTAGAATAATTATAACTCTTATAAAATGTGATAAGAGTTCGGTTGTCTTTAAATTACTCAAATCTCAATATTTTGATTAACCCAAGGTCTGGTGTAAAGGTGGAAAATATTGGTTCATTTGTTCTGGTACCACCCCACAAAGGGTCAAAGTTTTGAATATGCATGAAGTTCATAAAATGTGGAATTAACATCTGATTCCATTAAAACTTGGCACATCTCAAAATTTCTATTAATACAAGATCTGTTATAAAGATGGTAGAGATCGGGCCATGTATTCTGGCACCTCCCCACAAAGGGTCACAGTTTTGAATAACAAAAACCATTATAAAATCCGCAATAAGCATCCGGTTCTCTTTGTATTTCACACAGCCCATTATTATTTCTAACACAAAATCTGCTGTGAAGATGATATATATCGGTCCATTCCTTCGGGTACCTCCCCCACAAAGGGCCAACATTTCGAATAATCACGAAGCTCACTAAACGCGACCACATTTGTTGTTCCTTGAAAATGTTCTTAAAAATCCTGGAAAACTAGGTTTTGTTATTGAAAAATATTTTTTGGGAAACACATGTTGTTGTTCCTTGGAACAAAATTGTCGTTTATCCCACGTTCCTTGAGAAAAATATTCTTAAAACATCTAAGCTAATTGGCGTGCTAGTTCTTGAAAAGTCCACGTTTGTTCTCCGTCTGTCCATAACACTACAGACCACCACGTTAATAACTATGTTGGTTATTTAGCGATAAATAATTAACAAATTATAGGGGTGACAGACAGTCTGGTAATTACAGTTATGTGACAAAAAATATGATTTCCTGCTTAATAAAAAAAACCGGAAACGGCATCGATCGATCGATTTCGTGCTAAGTTCACCAGACATCCAACCAACAACATAAACCTGTTTGAAAATGAAAAGAACTATTCTTGCATTTTATCCATGACGTTGAAAAATCCAGTTAAGCTATGGATAATTTAACCTCCATCTAAGCCAAGCTATAAATAAGTCATGCCACCTCTTGTGGTCTAGAAGTTTAAAATATTGCAGACAACTCTCGGTCAAACCACATCAATCGCCACAAGCGCGATGAACAAACCAGCTTTATATCACAAATTTCACGCGAAAGCCAAGGAGGATGTTGGTGACTTTATTCGTAAAAACTTTTCGAAATTCAGTTTCAATCCAAATGGTTGTGACAATTTCATTGATGTGGGCACTGGACCAGGAGATGTTTTCATGCAATACATTTATCCATTGTTACCCCTAGCCAAATGCAATCGCCTGGTATTGAGTGACATTTCCAAGGACATGTTGGAGTTCCTGAAACAATATTATCAGACACCAAGTAAATTTGAATTCTGCACCTTTGATATTCAATCGAAAAAGGGATTACCAAACAATTTGGAAGGACAATTTGATCATGTTACGTCGTGTTTGGTGCTGCATTGGGTGCCAGATAATGGGTAAAAACATGTTAAGAAAAATTTATTTTATTTCAGATATTAATTTTAATTTCTTTCTTAGCATGGCTTTAAAAAATATTTTCAATCTACTACGACCCGACGGCGACTGCCTTTTGATTTTCTATTCCTACAACGGGGTATTCGAAGTACATTCCCTATTGAGTGCAAGTCCCAAATGGTCTCAGTACACTAAAGGTGTAAGACCTAACATTGCATGCCTGCAGAATGTAAAAAATCCAAAAGAGATATTCCATTCCATGATGCTGGATGCCGGTTTCAGTGATATTAGCATCGATCTGAGGTATTCGGTGTACGGATATGAAAGTGTTGAACATTTGAAAGGTTTGTAGACAAATGAAATTTATAGTTTGAGAGGTTTTGAGAAAAATATTAAAAAAAAATCCCGAAAAATACTTTATAAGTCCATGAAAAAAATATTTTGGAAAAATTCTGTTTTTCCTTAAAAAATATTGTAGAAAAATCCTATTGTTCCTTAAAATTTTTTTCTTAAAACATACATGTTTTTTTTTTTTTTTTTTTTGTCTGTTAGTCCCTAAAAAATATTCTTAAAAAATATCTATGATTATTGGGTTGTTGGTCTTGTTTGTCATTCAAAAAATATTCTTAAAAAATCCAAGTTTATTGATCTGTTGCTCCTAGAAAAAAATATCCATGCTAATTTGAATTGGTCCGTTGAAACCATATTCTCGAAGTATCCACGATAACTAGTCCATGGAAAAATATTCTCAAAAATCCAAAATTATTAGTCTGTTTGTCCTTAAAAAATATTCTAAGGAAATCCACGATTGTTAGTATGTCGGTGTTGGGAAAAATTCCATACAACGGGTTTTTCGTCTGTTGGTCCTTGAAAAAAATATTATCAAAAAAAATCCAAGATTTTTAGCTTGTTGGTCCTGTTTGTCCTTCAAAAAATATTCTTAAAAAATCCAAGTTTATTGATCTGTTGCTCCTAGAAAAAAATATCCATGCTAATTTGAATTGGTCCGTTGAAATCATATTCTTGAAGTATCCACGATAACTAGGCCATGGAAAAATATTCTTAAAAATCCAAAATTATTAGTCTGTTTGTCCTTAAAAAATATTCTGAGGAAATCCACGATTGTTGGTCCTTGAAAAAATCGTGATAAAATCCACATTTATTGGCCTGTTTGCCTCATTAAAGAGTTTACAATTGTTGTTCTGCTGGTCCATGAAAAAATAATTCTTAAAAGATGCTTTACGAATACTTGTTGGGACTTAAAAAATTCACGATTAGTAGTCAGATGGTCCTTGGCAAAAATATTGTAAGAAAAATCCATGGTTATTGGTCTATTGATCCCTAAGCAAGTAAAAAAGTATCAGACGGTTTTGCCGACAGCTAATGTTCGATTTTATTTAAATATATTTTGACTTATGCTATGTTTATTCAATTTGTTGACTCTCTATGGAATAGGTTCCGAAGGAATGGATCAATATTGTAAATTTCAAGTTTTATGAGCTTCATGAGAATTCAACATTTTGACCCTTTCTGGAAAGCTGCCTGAAGGAGTGGACCAATATATCCCATCTTCACAACAGATGTGTTAGTAGAAACTATGGAATGTGTGAAATATGAAAAGAATTGGATGCTTATTTCTGATTTTATAACCGTTTTGGTTATTCAATACTTTGACCCTTTGTGGGAGAGATACCAGAATTAATGGTCAAATCTCTACCATCTATATAAAAGATCGTGTGTTGATGGCAATATTGAGATTTGCCAACTCTGAATGGAATCGGATGTCAATTTCGTGATTTATTAGGTTCATGAATATTCAAAATGTTGACCCTTTATGGTGGAGGTACCAGAAGGAGTGAACCGATTTATTCCATCTTCACACCAGACCTTGGTATAAACGGTATCAAATTTAGTACAATTTGAATATGGAACAAGTTAAAAAGCAGTAAGTTCGGCCGTGCCAAACTTTGAATACCCTCCACCATTTGGAACGAATTTGGAAATTTAAAAAAATAAAACCCTTAAAAAATTCTGTTAAATTTTAAAAATAGCGAATATTGCCGGGGTCTATACGACGTGGACCTACATAGGCATTGTTTACCATTAGCCATTACCATATTCAAATTCGAAACTTGATATAAACGGTGAATAATGAGCTAAAATCATCAAAATATCGTATATAGGGAGGTACCATTATTTCGGAGCTGTGCGAAGACCTGCATAAACATTTTTCTGTCACAGACTGTTGTTCCCATTACGAACTCTAAATACGTAATTTGAAACAATTCCGGTGAATAATGGCGCTAAAATCATCGAAATACCGAATTTTGGGAGGTACCTTTATATGGGGGCTATACGAAGACGTGGATCTACACAGACAATTTTCTGTCATAGGCTGTAGTATCCATTGCGAATCAAATGGAAAATCAAATACCAAAGTTGAAACAATTCCAGTGAATAAAGTCGCTAAAATCATCAAAATACCGAATATCGGGAGGTACCGTTATATGGGGGCTATACGAAGACGTGGACCTGCACAGACAATTTTCTGTCATAGGCTGTAGTATCCATTGCGAATCTCAACTACCAAATTTGAAACAATTCCGGTGAATAATGTCGCTAATATCATCATAATACCGAATATCGAGAGGTACCGTTATATGGGGACTATACGAAGACGTGGACCTACATGGCCCATTTACGAACTTACGTATTTCGAGAAGTTACAAACGGAATGACAAAGTTAATATACCCTCCATAGTATGGTGGAGGGTATAAAAACGGATGTAGCTGGAATCCTGAAATTATCATTACTGGCGGATTGTATGATTGGGATGTGGCGGAAGTTTTCGAAATTTGTACTTATGTGAACAAAAGCTACTAAACGGTACTAAATTTGGTACAATTTCAAGTTGGACGAACCGATAGAGCTGGAATTCTGAAATATAGAAAAAATATTACTATTGCATTGTAGAAATGAGGTATTTAGGAAGTTTTGGAAATTCGTACGTATGTGTACTCAATGGTACTTAATTTGGTACAATTTAAATTTTGGGAGAACCAATATAGTTGGTATAGTGAAAATTGGAAATAAGATTACCATTGCATTATAGGACTTATTGCATATTAGAACTTATGTGTACTAAATGGTGCTAAATATGGTACAATTTAAATTTTGGGTGAATTGATAGAGTTGGAATCCTGAAATTTGAAGCTAAAAAATCTATTGGACTGAAAATTTGTACTTAAGTTATTAAATTGTACTAAATTTTGTACAATTTGGATTTGGGAAATAAGATTACTGTCGGTGTGTAGAATTGGGTTATGTAAGCAGTTTTGGAAATTCGTACTCATATGTACTAAATGGTACTAAATTTGTTATTCGGTGATGGGATAGAGCAGCAATCTCGAAATTTGATATTGAGGTCTGTGTTGGTATCTGTGATTGAGATATGCTGATGTTTTTGGAAACGTGTACTATAATTGTATGTAAAAAAAACTAAATATTATAAATTTTTGCATTGGGTCGGGGAATAGAGTTGAAATCCTCACATTTGATATAGATATCACTTTTGGTGTCTGTGGTAACGATATAGAGGTGGCTTTGGAAATGTGTACTATAATTGTTCTAAAAGTACTAAGTGGTACTAAATTGGAAATTAGCTGAAGAGATAGAGCTGGAATCCCGAGATTTGATTTTAAGATCTTAGTTGGTATCTAGAATTGAAATACGGAGGTGTTTGTGGATGTGCGTACTTTAATTGTTCGAAAAGCACTAAGGGATAAATAATAAATAAGTTGGTATTGTGTGAAAGGATAATGCTAGAATCCTGAAATTTGATATTGAGGCCACTGTTGGTGTCTGTGGTTGTGAGAAGGAGCTGGTTTTTTCATATGCGTACTATAATTTTACTAGGTCGTACTTAATTCGATAATAAGGGAAGCTACGTAGCTGAAATTCTGAAATTTGGTATTGAGGTCACTCTTGTTTTCTTGGGTTTACATATGGAGCCGATGAGGTTCCGAGCTGGTTTTACTAATATCCACTTCAATAGACTTCAAAATGAAAGGTTTGGAAGACTTTTTGGTGTCGAAGGTAAACATTTTCTTTCCGAAATAGGAAAAACTAGATTAATATATTGAAAGTCGGAACATTTAGAACGATGTATAAAAATTTGATTGTAAAATGTTGTCAAAATTGACAAATTGTGCATTAATGTAATTGTGCAAAGTACATTAGTTTAAGTATTATAGAATCGCCGAAAAGTATGCCATAAATATGCTAAAGTAATTGCGGCAAACCAACTTTTCGTGAAAATTTAAAAATTTGCCATACCAAAACAAGTAATTGTAAATCTTTTGATTTAATAAATCATGATTTCCTTTTTGAATCATCCTTTATTTCCAGAAAATGTTATCTCCGTATGTGACATACTGGATTTAATACCCAAACACAGGCAGCCGGAGTTTTTAGATGACTACGTAGAAGTAATGATCGATATTGCCAAACGGAAACGTGGCCTTAGTGGCAAAGCGGCAGAAGCTGTTATTGTGGCCGATGTAATGATGGCCTATGGAAAACGACGAGCAGAAAACTGAGCATATTATTTGAAATGTAAAACACTGAAATTAAGTCAGAATATAAAAAAAGAAATAAAAATTTTCTAATTTATTTATTTCAAAGTACATGGTTTCCTAGCGTAAATTATCATTTGTTTATATGGCAAGCGCAGTGTATTATCCTCCTTGTTAAACAAAGGATAGTCCCAATCCAAGTTGATGATGGTATCAATGAAATCATTCATAAAATCATCCTGCAGGTGAATGGGAATGCGTGGTATATAGGGGGCGATGGCTTTTACACTGGCTGGAAAGGGGAAATAAAAAAAATGGAATTTAAATTAAGTAACTAAGGCACTGATTTGAATGACGAATGCGATCGAAAAGCACAATTACGAATGAATTTTAAATTTCAATTTGAAAAAACAAATCAAATTTAGGGAAAACGGATTTGGAATGTTGTTTTCCTTCTTGAGTTTCCCTTACCTTTATACGCCTCTACGGAGTAGGTGTGCACCCGGTCCCTTGTCTCCACTTGGTAATCACAAAAACCAATTGCCTCCAATAAATCCAACATATACTGCTTGGGATCCTCCACATGCTGCAGGGGTGATGTAAAATATTGCAAATCCTCCATATAGGGAGCCCATTTATCGTTGTGACTAAGACCGGTAAAGCCATCAAACAGTGATACATACGGGGCAGTGTTGATCAAAATATCACCACCTTCAGGCCGCAACAAGTTGTAGATATTGGTGAAAGCTTGTCTAAGAAGGGAGAAAAATTTTAATAGTTTACTGTGAATCCACATGTGAACTAAGGATGTAAGGATATTCCCCTATCTTGAACAGTTTTGGAAATTATCGGATTAAGAGTCCTAGAAATTCGTTTATTTTAATTATTTGGTGTTTTGGGCAATATTGTACATGAACCCACGAGGATTATTTTGGTAAAAATTGTTAACCCTCATGCGAGTTCTAAGTCAAACAAACAATTGAAATAGTATCAGTCGTATTTTTCCGGCAGATGTACACCCCCAGCCTAAAGTTATGATTATTCAAACTCTTGACTCTTTATGGGGGAGGTTCCGAAGCAGTTGGCCAATACTGACCAATCCGTATCTGACCTAAGACTGATATAAATATTACAACGTGACGGATTTGGACTATATCGACTACTTCCTGTAATTTATATGAGATATGTGCAATTTTTGGAAAATGTGAAAATATGCGTGAGGTACCAGACCGAAGTATTCCGTTTTCATACTTCATCTAGGACAGCTAAAAATATTGGTATGTGCAATATTTGAAGGAAATCGAACATTTATATCCAATTTTATGAGAAATCATAAATTTCGATTAATAACATATTCAGCAGATCTCTGGTTAAGAGATATATTTAGATATAGCAAGTTGTAAAGAATCGTCGACTAGTTTCGTCAGTCCTGAAAGGTGAGGTACCAAAAGGGGTTTGCAGATATATAACATCTTCCCAACAGATGTTGTGTTAGCAAACATGTTTGTATGTGGGAAATTTGAAGGGAATCGGATGCTTATTTCGCTTTCATTGAAAAATCTTGAGCCCAATGTGAGGGAGGTACCAGATTTTTTTTTTTTTTGTGTTGATGGAAAAATTGAGATGAGTTAAGCCTTAATGGGATCCGACGTTATTTTCGCGTCTTATGAGTTTTATGGATACTTAAAAATGTTGACCCTTTGTGGGGGATGCACCGCAAGGAGTGGACCGATATATCCCATCTTCACACCAGACCCATCTTCACACCAGATATTGTGATGTGTATAATTTAAAGAGAACCGGATGCTTATATCGGATTTAATTATAGTTTTGGTTATTCAAAAATTAAACCCTTTGTGGGGGAGCTAGCAGAAGGAATTGTCCGATATCTACCATCTTTATAGCAGATATTTTGTTGATGGAAATATTGGGATGTAGGAAGTCTGAATGGGATCGGATGTTAATTTATGAGCTTCATGGATACTTAAAATATTAACCCTTTGTGGGGGATGTACTGGAAAGAGTGGATCGATATATCCCATCTTCACTTCAGATCTTGGGCTGATAAAAAGATTGTGATTCGTGTAATTTGAAGAAAACCGGATGCTTTTTCGGATTTTATGATTGTTTTGTTTATTCAAAATGTTGACCTTTTGTGTGGGAGGTGCCAGAAGGATTTGTCCGATGTCTACCATCTTTACAACAGATCTTGTTTTGATGGAAATATTGAGATGTGCCAAGTCTGAATGGAATCAGACGTTATTGCCACGTTTTATGGGCTTCATGTATACTCAAAATGTTGACCCTTTGTGAGTGAGGTACGAGAAGGAGTGGACAGATATATTCCATCTTCACACCAGACCGTTGGTTAATAAAAATATTGTAATTTGTGTAATTTGAATAGTAGCGAACGCTTGTTTCGGATTTTATGATCGTTTTGGTTATTCAAAACGTTTACACTTTGTGAGGAAGGTACCAGAAGGATTGGTCCGATCTCTACCATCTTTACAACAGATCTTGATTTGATGGAAATATTGAGATGTACCAAGTCTGAATGGAAACGGATGTAAATTTCCGCGTTTTATGAGCTTCATGAATATTCAAAACTTTGACCCTTTGTGGGGAATATACCAGAATGAGTGGACCGATATCTTCTATCTTCAACCCAGACCACTGGCTAATAAAAATATTGTGATGTGTGAAACTTGAAGACAATTGGCACTTACATCACATTTTATAAGAGTTATAATTTTTTTGATGGAGTGGGCCGATATTGTCCATTTTCGCACCTGACCTAGCACTGAAGCAAATATTAGGATTTGCAAAGTTGGAGCAAAATCGGATTATCCTTTCTCTTTCTGTGCAGTAAATTATTTTCAGAACAGTGTTGGCATGTTTGTTTGGGATACCGTAGTATTTTGTTGTTGCAAAAATCGTCAGGCTTAATCCCATTATTGTTGTTTTTATAAAACAACAATTGTTTATTAGTGTAGAACGATGGTAATGTTTACCAGGGGGTAAGGCAGGGAATACCTAGGTTTCGGAAAGAGCCACCAATCCTCATCAGTTCCCTTGTTTTTTGCCTGGGATATTCTCCCCAGAACTTATTTTAAAATAACTCCTATGACAAAAAACTTTTTAACCCAAGTGACCAGATCGTAAGCTCAATAGAAGAGGAACCAAAGAATTAAGCCTGACGATTTTTGTAAATTATTTTCTTTGAAAATGTTGACCTTTTTTGGGGTAAGTAGCAGAGGGAGTGAACCGATATTGCCCATCTCCAAACTCGATCTAAGTTTGACAAAAATATCACGAGTTCCAGAGTTATCATGGGCACCAGCCAGACAGACGGACATCGCTAGATCGACTCCAAATGTCCTGAAACGGATTTGGTCCAAAGAGACCTGGGGTCTAAAACCCTCAGTAGCCATATGGCTTAGGGTATAAAAAATATTCTAAAACACTCAACAAAGGGGTATTAAATTCTCTACTCTCGTATTTTTTTTATCTATAATATTTCTGAAGACGCTCTTTAGCTAAAATGCACGGATTCCGAATTATTTTGAAAATGTTAGTCAAATATTCCAATGGAATTGTCTGAAAATCCACACAAGGAATTGTTTTTGAGTACTTTACCCTCTGGAATAGAATTGTCTTTATGGGTTCATGATATCGTGTATCCCTCATGCAACGGTACCTCCCGATATTCGATATTTTTATGATGTTGGGAACACTTTTTAATGAAATTGTATTAAAATCCACACAAGGAATTCAATCTGAGTAATTTATTCCCGGGAGAGAATAGACTATTTAGTACCACAATATAGTATAGCCCTCATACAACGATACCTCCCGATACTCGATATTTTGACGATTTTAGGGACTTTATTCTCCGGAGTTGTTTCAGCCTGATATGTAGAATTCGTAATGGGCCTATAACAAACAATTGTGTATGCAGGCTCAAGTCTTCGTATAGCCTCCACATAACGGTACCTCCAAAAATTCGGTATTTTTATGATTATAGCGACATTATTCACCGGAGTTGTTTCAGAGTTGTTTAGAGTTCGTAATGGAAACTACAGTCTATGACAGAAAATTGTCTATTTAGGTCCATGTTTTTGTATAGGTCCCATATATAAATATCTCCTTATATTCACTACTTTAACGATTTTTGGTGCAATATTCACCGAAATTGTTTGAAATTTCGTATTTGAAGTTCCTAATGGTACTACAGCCTGTGACAGAAAAATATATATGCACGTCCAGGTCTTCGTATAGCCCCGATAGCTACATTATTCACCCGATTCTTTTCAAATTTCGTATTTGAATATTGTAATGGCTTATGACAAATGTTGCTTATACAGATCGACGTATTCGTATAGAGCCACACATAATGGTTATATTCGGTATTTTTAATATTTTAACAGAATTTTATTTATTTATTTATTTATTTATTTATTTATTATTATTATTATTATTATTATTATTATTATTATTATTTTTTTTTTTTTTTTTTTTTTTTTTTTGAAAAAATTTCAAAATTCGTTCCAATTGGTGGAGGGTATTCAAATATCGGCCCGGCCGAACTTACTGCTTTTTTACTCACCTCTGATCCACCACCAGCTGTAGGCAATAATTCGATGTGACATGATCGAATTGGCCCTTCAAATCATTCAACAGCTCTTCATGCGATTCAATATTTAAAACTTTAAAATCGCTATTTGGCAAATGGTGATAATGCTCTCGGGCATACTCCATCATACTGTTCTTAATGTCGGAGAAAACAAGACGTTGATATGTGTCTGGCATTATGGGATAAATGCAATCGTAGACAACATCACCCGGTCCCGAACCAATATCGATGAGCGCATCAGAGCCATCATTACGCCAACGGATCTTTGAGGAAAATTGTTTATAGAATACAATGGCATCCTTCTTTTGCAACTCATGGGCATCATAATACAATTGGGGATCATCCATTTTTTTTTACTTTAATTAAAAATTCACCGAAATATAGAAAATACAACTTCTTCTAACTCTTACAAGTTACTAACTACATTTTATGATCCGTATGCTTATTTATATGTGGTAACAACCTGTACATACATACAGGTGTTTGCCTAACTTCTAACTGAATTACAATTAAATTTGACCCCGATCAGCTGGACAAACACACGTTTTCCAGCCGTTTTATGTGCGAATGTCTAATTGTGATATTTTAATTTTTTTATTCATTTTCAAATATTTGTTTAGCTAAACAATAAATCAACAAATTGGAAAATACAATGCGATTAATAATAGACAGGAAATTGAATATGAAACACTTCTGTATTTTATTTGAATAATCGTCTCAAACATCAAACAACATTTTATTATTAAATCCAAAGCATTATTGTCAGTTCTATCACTCTCTCAGAAAAGAATTAACTTATTTTTAAAATAGATCAGGGATGGGCATTTCAGTGCCATATTTTTATACCGTCCACCATAGTATGGAGGGTATATTAAGTTTGTCATTCCGTTTGTAACACCTCGAAATATAAATTTTAGACCCCCCAAAGTATATATATTCTTGATCCGCATAAAATTCTATGTTGATTTAGATATGTCCGTCCCTCTGTCCGTCTATCCGTCTGTGGAAATCACTCTAGCTTCCGAACGAAATGAAGTAGGTTGATAAAATTTTACTCAAATGTGTATTATGTCTGCAGGACTTTTGGTATTCAAAATGGGCCATGTAGGTCCACGTCTTCGTATAGCTCCCATATAACGGTACCACCCGATATTCGGTATTTTGATGATTTTAGCGTCATTATTCACCGGAATTGTTTCAAATTTGGCATTTAAAGTTCGTAATAGGTACTACAGCATAAAACAGAAAAAGGGTCATGTAGGTCAACGTCTTCGTATAGCTCCCATATAACGGTACCACCCGATATTCGGTATTTCGATTATTAAAGCGACATTATTTACCAGAATTGTTTCAAATTTGGTTTTTGAAGTTCGAAATAAATACTACAGCCTACAGACAGAAAATTGTCCAGGTCCACATCTTCGTATAGCCACCATATAACGGTACCTCCCTATATTCGGTATTTTGATAATTTTAGCGACATTATTTAACGGAATTGTTTCAAATTTAGTATTTGTAGTTCGTAATGGATACTACAGCCGATGACAGAAAATTGTCTAGATCTTCGTATAGGCCCCATACATCAGTACCTCCCTATATTCGGTATTTTGACGAGTTTAGGTACAATAACCACCGAAATTGTTTGAGATGTCGTATTTTAAATTCGTAATGGATGCTACAGCCTGTGGCAGAAAATTGTCTATGCTGGTCCAGGTCTTCGCAAAGCTCCGATATAACGGTACCTCCCTATATATGATATTTTGATGATTTAAGCTACATTATTCACAGTTATTTCAAGTTTCGAGTTTGAATATGGTAATGGCTTATGACAAACAATGCCTATGTAGGTCCACGTCGTATAGACTCCATTATAACGGCTATATTCGATATTTTTAAAATTTTAACAGAATTTTGCAGGGATTTTATTTTTTGAAAATTTCCAAATTCGTTCCAAATGGTGGAGGGTATTCAAAGTTGGGCCTGGCCGAACTTACTGCTTTTTAACTTTTTTTCTTTGCAAACTTCCGAATTTTTTCCGAATAGTGGAGGGTATTTAAAGTTCTGCCCGGTCGAACTTACTTCTTTTTTACTTGTTTATATTCATATCCTCATTGACAATGTTTGATAAGATTATATGGTCCAAACTTGGGACATTATACTATTACTAACACGCTAAATCCTAGTATCTCGCTACACTATGCGACAAATTATTATTATTATTTTTTTTTTTTTTTGAATAACTAAATGGAAATTCCAGTGTATTGTGAAAGAAGTGCCAAAAATAGAATAGACGTGAATCAGATTAACATTTTTTCGAATCCGTTTAACCTTTTGTAGGGAAGGTATGAAAAGGAGTAATTCACTAAATTCCATATTTACGTCAGACTAGCTGAACCCGGTGCGCTTCGCTACCCCTTTTGATTTTATATGCATTCAAAATTTTATTTTCGAACATATGTTAGATAAAGAAAAACAAATTTAAAAATTAAAAAAAAAATATTGCACTAATTTAATGCGTTAATAAACAAAATCATTACAAAAGCAGTAACATGACATGCATACACGAAGGATTTGTCCTTTGGATTTATTTATTTCATAGCAAATACGACGCAGGAAACTGCAAATTTTTAAGTAAAAAAATTACTTTTACACCAAACTCCGCCACACCTTTTATAATTCATTGAAATTGGTGCGTCAAATATGTGAAATCGGAGAATATATATATGGGAGCTATATCCAAATCTTCACTAATTTCCAATTAATTTATCACATTTATTATTATAACCAAATTCCGCCACACATTCTGAATTTCATTGGAATCGGTCATATATATCGTTTTTGGTGCATAATATGTATGAAATCGGCCGAAATATATATGTTAGCTATATCCAAACCTCAACTGATTTCAATATAATTTGGCAATTTTTGCTGGTGCCAGATTTTGTCTCTCTCGCTTTGGGTGCATCAAATATGTGAAATCGACTGAGTACAATATTTGGGAGCTATAATCACATCTGAGCGTATTTGAATATAATTTGTAAAATTTATTTTTGTACCAAATTTAGCCACTCATGCCGAATTTCGTTGGAATCGGAAATACGTATCGTGTTTTGTGCATCAAATATGTGAAATCGGCGGAAAATATATATGGGAGCTATATCCAAATCTGAACCGATTTTAATATAATTTGACTAATTTATTTTCTAATCAAAATCCCGTTACATATTCCAAATTACATGAAATCGGTCGAAAATATATATGAGAGTTATATCCAAATCTGAACCGATTTTAATATAATTTGACAAATTTATTTTCGGATTAAATCCCGTCACACATTCCAAATTTCATTGGAATCGAACATTCAAATTGTGATTGAGGCATCAAATGAGCGAAATCGGTCGAAAATATATATGGGAGCTATATCTAAATCTGAACCGATTACAATATAATTTGGCAAACTTATTTTTGTTCCAAATTCCGTTACGTATTACAAATTTGGAGACTGTATATTCAACCAATCAATAGATATATGTGCATATAAAATCTAAATTTTTGGGAGGTACCTCCGATTCTGATGCTATATCTCCAGTTCCAAGTGGAAATTCAAAAATGTATATAGCCTATGTTACTTTCAGGCGATGTTGCAGTATATATGGAAATTTTCAGGAAAATCTATTCAGCGGTTTTCGAGTCCATAAATTACAAACAAACAAACAAACAAACAAACATACAAACATTTTCCTCTTTTATAGATATATAAGAGAAGAAGAAGAAGAAGATGTAGTTGAGAAAAATATTTAGATATACCAAGTTTGAATAGTATCGCTTACTTGTTTCGCAAGTTGTGAAAGATATAAATACTTAAAATTTGACACTTTGTGGAAAAGGTGTCAGAAGGGTTGGGCCAATATCTATCATCTTCTCTCCAGATCTTGTGTTGATAGAAATATTGGGATGTATGACATCTGAGGAGAATCGGATGCTTATTTCGCATTTTGTCAGAGATATAATTATTCAACATTTTGAACCGATATGGGGGAGATACCAGAAGGAATCGTCCGACATATTTCATCATCATACCTGATTTTGTATTGATAGAAATATTGGGATGTGCCGAGTTTGAAAATAATCGGACGCTCATTTCGCGTTTTATGAACTTAATGACTATTCAAAATGTTGACACGTTTTGAGCGAGGTACCACGAGGAGTCGACCAATATATCCCATCTTCATACCACAACTTGTGTTGCTAACAATACTGAGATGTGTGAAATTTGAAGACAATCGGACTTTTATATCACATTTTAAAAGAGTTATGATTATTTAAAATGTTGACCCTGTTTGGGAGAGATACTTGATGGAGTGAACTGATATAGTCAATTTTCGCATCCGACCGAGCACTGATTTGCAAAGTTTGAACAAAATTGTATGATTCTTTCTTGTTCTAAGACGAAAATTATTTTCCAAGAAAATGTTGACCTATTGTGGGTGAGTCCGATATTGTCCATCTCCAAATCTCGATCTAAATTTTACAATGATAATCAAGTACATTAAACTTGAAAAATCGGTTCAGATAAAGCTATAGCTCCCATGCGTATGTTTCATCCGATTTGGTGTTTAAGACCCTCGCATTCGTAATATGCAAGCCACAAGAATAATATTTGGTATCAGATATAAGATAGAGCCCAGAAACACCTATGCCAAAATGTATCCAGATCGGTTCAGATTTGGATATAGCTCCCATATATATCTTTAGCCGATTTCGGCTAATTGTGCACTAAATAGTCAATATCAGTCCAAATGACCTGCATTTTGGCACATCCGAAAGGATTCAGTCTAAAAGCAAATACATCAAATTTGGTGAACATCGATTCAGATATAGCTACGGCTCCCATATAGATATTTCATCCGATTTGGTGATTAAGTCCCTCATATTCGTAATATGCACTCGACAACAAGTATATTTGGTACCAGATATCTTATAGAGCTCGGAAATATTGTCTGAAGATCGGTTCAGATTTAGATATAGCTCCCATATATATCTTCAACTGCTTTCGAGTTAATTGTGCACTAAATGGTCAATATCAGTCCAAATGACCTGAATTTTGGCACATCCGACCGAATTGAGTCTAGAAGCAAAAACATCAAATATGGTGAAAATTTGTTCAGATATAGCTATAGCTCCTATATATATGTTTCATACGATTTGGTGTTTGAGAACCTCATATTCGTAATATGGATTCGACAGCAATGATATTTGGTACCAGATATGGCTCCTCAACCGATTTCGGGTTAATTGTGCATCAGATGGCCAATATCAGTCAAACTGACCTGAATTTTGGCACATCCGACCGGATTCAGTCTAGAAGCAAGTATATCAAATTTGGTAAAAATCGGTTGAGATATAGCTATAGCTCCCATTTGTATCTTTCGTCCTATTTGGCGTTAAAGACCCTCACATTCGTAATATGCATTCGACAAATATGATATTTGCTACCAGATATCAGATAGAACCCAGAAATACCAGATTTGGATATAGCTGCCATATATATCTTTAACCCATTTCGGGTTAATTGTGCACCAAGTGGCCAATCTCAGTCCAAATGGCCTGAATTTCGGCACATCCGACCGGATTCAATCTAGAAGCAAATACATCAATTTTTGTAAAAATCGGTTCAGATATAGCTTTAGCTCCTATATATATGTTTCATGCCATTTCATACCAGCTATCTTATAGAGCTCGGAAATACCTTTTGCCAAATTTTTTCGAGATCGACTAAGATTTGGGTATAGCTCCCGTATGTATAGGCTTAATCCGATTTCGGGTTTATTGTGCAAATAGTGGCTAATATCAGCCCAAATGGAATGAATTTCGGGACGTATGTTTCCATTTTGTGCAACTCGGCTCCGATATATATATTTTTATACCTAGTGTGGAGGGTATATTAAGTTCGTCATCCCGTTGGTAACTCATCGAAATAATCATTTTAGACCCAACAAAGTATATATATTCTTGATGAGCGTAAAATTCGACGATTTAGCCCTGTTCGTCCGTCCGTCTGTCCATCTGTTGTAATCACGCTACAGTCAAAAAGAAATAAGATAGGAAACTAAAATTTTGCTAAGATTTCTCTTTTGTCTGCAGCAGGTCAAGTTCGAAGATGGGCTATATCAGTCCACGATATCGTATAGCCCCCATATAACGGTACCCCCCGATATTCGGTATTTTGATGATTTTAGCCACATTTTTCAATGGAATTGTCTAAAATTTCACACAAGGATTTTTTTGTGAATGCTCCAGACATAGCTTTTTCTATATAAGTCCACGATATGTCGGCACCTTCCGAGGTTAGTTTTTTTTAAAGATTTTAACAGAATTTTTAACGGATTTTATTTTTTTGAAAATTTTTTCGTGTAAATTCCTTTGTTACGGGAGCTGTACTTAATATGCATAGTGGTGTAGGGTATCATACAGTCGGCCCCGCCCGACGTTTCCTTACTGGTTTTTAATATGTCACAAAAATTTTTGTTTTTAAAATTTATATATTTTTTAATGTTACCATGCATTTTTATTCTGTTATTATTATTTTCTGTGGGTTTCAAAGAGATGACTTCTTTTGACCATACACCACAATCGTATCCAAAACCATTGTGTACATTGCATCTTTCAAAGGCAATCCTTGTTTTTTCGCAGCAGTTTCTGCCATGGCCTTAAAATAATCTTCAAAAAATTCCAACTGACGCGATTTTGTAATGAAATCCAATACGCCGCAGACGGGTGTGATATTTTCTAAAAGGATTAAATATTAAAAATTAACAATTTTTAAGATAGGAAATATTTTTTAAATATCCTTGACTACCTTTAAAGTTTTCAAAGCTCCCATAATTATAAACTCCCGCCTTCAGTTCAATGCTAATATTACAAAATCCTGCAGCTTCCATCATTTGTTGAAATTGTCCCTTGGGATCAGTGCTGTAATGCAACGGGGCGACAAAACGATTTGCATTTTGAATATATTGAGACCATTTAGGATTGGAGCTCATCAGGTTGTTGGCTTCAAAAATGCTGTTATAACCAAAGAATATCAAGAGGCAATCGCCACCCTCAGATCGCAGTAGTTTATACATATTCGCCAAAGCCGTTCTGCAAAGAAAATCACATTGTTATCAATACATATGAATTAATTATTTTATTTCATATATCACCTGTTATCTGGCACCCAGTGCAGAACCAAACTTGATATAACATGATCAAATTGACCCACCATATCGTCGGGTAGTTCAAAACTCTCCCCGGCAATATCAAGTTGTCGGAAATCACATTTCGACGGAATTTCATAATTCTCTCTGAAGAAGTTCATCATGTCCCATGATATGTCACTGAAAATGAGTTTTCCGAAATTTTCTCGCATCAGAGGATAAATGTACTTCATGGAAATATCTCCAGGTCCGCAACCAATTTCCAGGACCGCATCACCACCCTCTGGACGCCACTGCAGTTTAGAGGCAAATTGAGTTAGCAGTTCGCCAACATCTCGTTTTGTCACGCCGTGTGATTTATGATACAATTCCGGCTTATTCATTTTAGATAATTTGGCAAAACAAAAAACAATAGCCTTTTCCAGCTAACACTCGACGACGATCTGACATCTTGCGGTTTGTTAGTGCTTCAATTTAAAGCGGTTTTTTTAGGTAGTGAATCTTTTTATTTATATTTTTTATTATTTATTTATTAACTTATAAATATCCCACTAAAAGTTATTTAGATTTTATCAATGTGGAGTATATTAATAAATGGAGACAGCTACAGTGATTAAGAATTCCGTTTTATTGGCCAAAGACACATTTTTTTATAACCAACAGTTTTGCTCGGATTCAATAATAACCGGTAAGGAAAGGTCAAAAGTAAGGCGGGGCCGACTATATGATACCCTACACCACTATGCATATTTGAAAAAAAAGTTCGCATTGGGAAATTATGTGAAGTAGATCATACCTTTAGAGTAATCACAATTTGGTAACCATATCCAATTCTGAATCGATTTTCCACAAATTTGACAGAGGCTTTTGTACCTCTAGTGCCAAATAACATTGCTGTATAGTGCATCATATGACTTCTATAAGAATTATATTAAGAACTATTTATTGGAGCAATAGCTATACCGGACCGAATTGAACCGATTTTCACCAAAATTTGAAGTAATTGCTTCTAGATTGAATTCGGTAGGATGTGCCAAAATTCAGACCATTTGGACTGATATTGACCATTTAGTGTACAATTAATCCGAAAGCGGTTGAAGATATATATAGGGGCTATATTCAAATATGAACCAATCTTAATAAAATTTAATAGAGGTATTTCTGAGCAGTGTCTGGTATCAAATGTCATTGTTGTGGGATGCGCATTACGCATGTGTGTGAATCGGATGAAACATATATATGGGAGCTATAGCTATATCTAAACCGATTTTCACCAAATTTGAAATACTTGTTTCTAGACTGATTTTGGTCGGATGTGCCGAAATTCAGATTATTTGGACTGACATTGGCCATTTGGTACACAGTTATTAGAAAATCGGTTGAAGATATACAGGGTTAAATAAAACAAGCAAGAAAAGGCTATAGCCGTGCGGGGCCGACCATGTGATACCCTACAACTCTACAATTGCTTCGAAGTCCCCTTATGTCCAAGTCCATTTTGGAATATTTCGTATTTGAAATAATATTAAAATAATGCCCCTGTCCTTAACTTTCTTCTGATGCAAAATTCTGTGTCGATTAGTTTTCAATTGTGGTCTATAGAGCGACGACAAAATTAGAAAATTGTTATTTTTTAGTCCATTTGAACCCCTAAATTTACATCTTAAGAACAATAGGCTTTAATTCTGACCCTAACCCCACCGCCGTGATGATCGGACGATAATTGCGACATGCATATAATACCCTCAAAACGTAGTGTTGCGGAGTGTAAAAATTCCAACAATTTACAATTCAAAATTGGAAGTCAAATTGAAAAAATCGCATGCGATAAAAAATATGACAAAAATTGAAAAATAAGAACAAAAGATATCAACTTTTTTCTTGCAACTTTTTTCGCGATGTGTTTCTGGCAAGAGACCATTCCGTATTGATGGGAATTGTGAAAATCGGCCCAGCGGCCCAGAATAAATAAGATCTATTCTTTTACATATATATTGTACTTATTTTGCTATATATCCGATTTCTTCTCCGATTGCCCAGTCCTAAACTCTAACTCCATGTAAATTTCCGCGTCGATTGGTTCATAATTGTGGCTTATAGAGCAACTGCAAAATCATGAAATTTTTCTGTTTTTGGTCCATTTCAACCCCTAAATATTGTGCAATCATCTCCAAAAACAATAGGGTTCTATTCTGACCATAACCCCACCTCCATTTTTAATTTCATGAGGATCGGCCATAATTGCGACCTGTATCTTGATTACAAATTAACATGGACAGACGGACGGACATACATAGCTACATCGACTCAGCTGTCATATATACTTTCCTATATGGGAAACCAATATTTCGAGGTGTTACATAATTTTTGGCCCAATCAAAATTATAATGCCCCCAACACATAGTATTGTAGGGTATGAAAACTGCAACAAAGTCAACAGCCATAATTTATACATTTTTTTAAATTTTATTGATTTAAAGCAAAAAATGTCGGAAATAGCATCAAATTTTAGAATAAGTTTAGATTTGTTCAAATTGGTCACCTTTGGCACACGCTGCCCGATTGTTGCTCTGCGGTTTTTTGGCCCATTCCCGGTGAAGCGCTTGATCGACACTTTGGTATTTTTAGTGCCAACTGAGTGCTGAGTCCTGTTGGACATTCCAAGGTCTGCGGTCAAAATGTTTGCGTGCCCAAGGCTCTATACTCCCACCAGAATATTTTCGCTACAATATTCGGCATTTATTCTGATGCCACGGTCGATTAATACGAGCGGAGGGCGACCATCGGCTGTTATGGCAGCCCACACCATCACCATGACCGGCTCTTGAGTTCTGGTGGCCAACCGAAGGTGCACATTTTCATCTGACCTCTTTGACAAGTAAACACGATCATTTTGTTTGTTTGCAAACTGCAACACAACGAATGTTTTCTCATCGGAGAAAACCAAATTCGGCAGTTCACCACTTTCGGTCAAGCGAAGCAACTCTTTAGCTCTTTTGAGTCTATTTTCTATCTGATGCGATGTAAGTTCTTGCACTTTTTGGAATTTCAATGGCTCTTCCCCGAGCTCATTTTTCAATATTTGCCGAATGGAATATTGCGATATGTTCAGCTCACGAGCCATTTTTCGACCATTGCAGCGCGGGTTTCAATCAAGTCGCTTCTTTACTTTTCGAACTATTTCTGCTGATGTTGCAGTTTTCTTCCGCCTACTTCCTTGACGTCGTGCTACGCTACCAGTATCACGGTAACGAGCGATGGTAGGAGACACAAAAGATTTATTCACATTTAAATGCTGGAGTGCTCTAACGATAGCCACTTGTGGTTCTCCAGCCAAATATAAAGAAATCACACTATCACGCTTGAATTCCACCACGAATAACTTTTTTTCTGGAAAATTCTCACCAAAATGCTTATGTACCCTTGTAAACAATATAATGAGTTTTCACTGGAATAATTTTAACAGCTGTCGGACGATTCGCTTAGAAATGACAGCAGTCTGAAGTTGGTTGCAGTTTTTTTATCTCACCCTGTACTGTGCCGGACAAATACAACTGACTTTTTGCAGGGTTGTAGGATAATTATTTATTTTTTCGAGGGCAACTTTAATAAAAAACAAATAAGGATATAAAACTAATTAGTTCAAAATTAATTACAAAATCAAATAAATGAAATTAATTAAAATGAAATTATTTCAAATAAAAAACAAGTTTACAATGCTTGTGCATTAATATAAAATGCTGAAAAAGAAAAAAAGAGACATAATATAACAATATTTTTTATTAACAGTCAAAAAGTTCGAAAAATCAGAAAAATATTTTTTTAGTATAAAATCTTCAGTTAAATGGAATTGCAATGGGCATTTTTTGTCCATATGCCACAATTATATCGGCAACTACCACACACTTTGATTCTTCTCCCGATAAATTTCGACGTTCCATGGCAACTTTCTCAAAGGCTTCAACATAACCATCTAAAAATTCCGATTGACGACATTCGGGGATAAAATCGTAAATGCCACAGACCGTTATTAGGCTTTCTGTAAAGAAGTAAATACAAGAAAGAGGATATTAAAGGCAACCATTTAATTTCGATATTTTAGATAATCATCGGTCTTCTAAGAAGGATACAGTTTTATCCATATAAGGTCACTTTAGTGTCTGTGTCTTTTCAATTGAAAATCACCTGAGTGGTTCTATTTCTTAAAAAAGAAACTAGATTTGCCGATCAAATTGTTGAACGTCTATGGAGTGGGTTGAAAACGGATTGAACTAATATTGTCCATTTCGTATCGGACCTAAACAATTTTATGTGAATTCATAAATTCCATATTAAACTAAGCTTTCCGGTAGAGATAAAAATTTAGACACAACAAATTTTAAAGAATCGCTGACATATTTCGCAAATAAAAAAATTGACAAATGTGACCCTTTGTGGGTCCCGCTTGTATATATGTATATATATATATATATATATATATATATATATATATATATATATATATATATATATATATATATATACATATATATATATATATATATATATATATATATATATATATATATATATATATCATCTTCACAAGAAATCTTGTGTTAGCAAAAATGTTTATGTGTGTGAAATTCGAAGAGAGAGAGAGAGATCTATCATCTCTATATAACAGATGGAAATATTGAGATGTGCCACTGGAATCGGATGTTAATTTCGCTTTTTATGAGCTTCATGGATATTCAAAAAATTGACCCTTTGTGTGAGGGGTACCAGAAGAAGTGGTCGGAAATATTCCATATTCCCACCTATTCTTGTGTAGAAATATTGAGATGTTTCAAATTTGAAAATAATCGGCTGCTCATTTCACGTTTTATGAACTTAATGGTTATTCGAAGTGTTGATCCCTTTGTGGGCGAGGTACCAGAAGGAGTGGATCGATATATCCCATCTCTACACCAGGTCTTGTGCTAATAGAAATATTGGGATGTGTGAAATTCAAAATAAGCGGATGACTATTTCGCATTTTTTTAGAGTTATGATTATGAAAATTTTTGACCCTTTGTGTTGGAGGTAACAGAAGGAGTGTTCCGATATATTTCATTTTCCCACCGGGTCTTGTGCTAGTAGAAAAATTGAGATGCTACGAGTTTGAAAGTGATTGGATGCTAATTTCGCGTTTTATGGGCTGCATGGTTATTTTAAATGTTGACCTCTTTGTGAGGGAGGTAAAGGGTGGGTCGATATCTAACACCTTCAAAGCAGATCTTGTGCTAGTAGAAATATTGGGCTGTGCAAAACCTGAAGGTAGTCGGACCCTTATTTCACATTTTCTGAGAGTTATAATTATTCAAAATTTTGATCCTTTGGGGGGGAGGTGCTAGAAGAAATGGTCCGATGTTTACTATCTTTACAACAGATCTTGTGTCGATAGAAATAATGAGATGCGCAAAGTATGAATGGAATCGGATGTTAATTTCGTGTTTTATGAGTTTTAAGGTTATTCAAAATGTTGACCCTTTTATGGGGGAAGTACCAGAAGGAGTAGACCGATATATTCCATCTTCACACTAAACCTTGACATAATAAAAATTTTCCAATTTGTTTAATTTGAAGACAATCGGACTCTTACATCCAATTTTATAAGAGTTATAATTATTCAAAATTTGTACCACTTGTGAGGGAGGTACTTGATGGAGTGGACCGATATTGTCCATTTTCGTACCTGACCTAGCTCTGATGCAAATGTTAGGATTTGCAAAGTTGGGGTAAAACTGGAGCAAAATCGGATTATCCTTTCTTTTTAAAATTTCGACATTTTGTGGGGGAGGTACCAGAAGATGTGGACCGATATTGCCCATCTCCGGACTAGATCTAAGTTTGATAATGATATTACGATGTGCCAAGTGTGGACCAAATCGGGCATTTTCTTCGAGAGTTATCGTGCCATAAAGCCAGCCAGACGGACTGACGCAGGACATGGTTAGATCGACTCCAGATGCCCTTAAACGGATTTGGTCCAAAGAAACCTAGGGTCTAAAACCGTTATTTCGATGAGGCACGTTTTCGCTGTATCAAATGATAAATACCCTCTGTAGCCATATAGGTACCAGAAGGGTGGATCGATATGGGGGAAGTACCAGATGGAGTGGAACGATATTGCCCATCTCCAAAGTGATAAAAATATGAGGAAGTACCATGTTTGGATGAAATCGGATACTACCTTCGAGTACTATCGTGGGTACCAGCCTGCCGGACAGACAGACGAAAACCTCTAGACAGTCTTCAAATGTCCTAAAACGGATTTGGTCCAAAGAGACCTAGGGTATAAAACCATTATTTCGATGAGGCACATTTTGGCCGTATCAAACGAGCCTCTAGCCTCATAAAGAGGTCAACTTAGCAGTGTTCTATCAAAAAAGACCACCTGAGTTATCTTCTATCTGTAGCTAAGCCATTCTCAGGAATTTTTAATAATCTTAAATAATTTAATTTATAGTTTTTACCTCTAAATTCCTCCATATTTTTATAATGATACGTTGCCTGCTTAACATCCATGCTAATATTCGAAAATCCAGCAGCTTTCATCATATCGCGTAATTCGTTGGTGGGATTCTGTCTAAATTGCAAGGGGGCTACAAAACGATCAACATTTTCGACATATTTCGACCATTTAGGGTCACAGTTCAGCATATGATTCGCTTGGAAGACACTGTTGTAGGAAAAGAAAACCAAAATACAATCTCCTCCTTCGGGTCGTAGCAAATTAAACATGTTCTTCAATGCCGTTCTGGAAGAAAACTCTAAAATTACTACTAAATTATTATTGAATAATCTCTCCCCCAACTCACCTGTTACCTGGCACCCAATGCAATACCAAACTCGATATTAAATGATCAAATTTACCCATCATATCAGCGGGCAGTGGCTGTTGCGTTTCAATATCCAACAATTTCAATGCACATTTATTCGGAATTTCATAATGAGATTTAAAGAAATCCAACATTGCCAACGAAATATCACTGAAGACTACTTTGCCATAATTGGAAGGTATCAGGGGATAGATATATTTCATGGTAACATCTCCGGGACCAGTGCCAATATCTATGACAGTATCGCCACCTTCTGGACGCCATTGCAGTTTTGTGGCAAATTTTGCAATTAATCGGCCAACATCTTGTTTGACTTCATGATGTGCCTTATGATACAAAGCTGGTTTATTCATTCTGCGGTTATCCGTCAAGCTGGACTCGAAACAAAGAATTTCGCAAAACACTTAACTCCGTTGATGGAGCTGTTGATTTTATATGAAAAGTAACAATGTCAACTTGTTCAATTTTAAAGACTTTATTAAAAGTGACAGTGTTGCCGTCTTGCAGAAAAATTGTTTATTCCACAACAAAAAAACTGAAAAGGAGAACCAAAATATATATCTAAGTGAATTTCGATAGTAACAAGTAAAAACGTATCGGTCGGTTTTGCCGACAGATGTATACCCTTAGCCAATGTTCGATTATTTAAACATATTTTGACTTCTGTTATGAATTTTCAAACTCTTGACCCTCCATGGAGTGGGTTTTGAAAGAATGGGTTAATATTGTCCATTTCATATCGGACCTAAATAAATATGATATAAATATTATTATGAATATATAAGAAAATCGAAAATTTATATCTTAATTCCATATTCATCTCAGGATTCTGGTTGAGAGAAATATATTTAGATATAGCAAGTTGTAAAGAATCGCTGAGTTGTTTCGCAATTTATTACAGATAAAATTATTGAAAATTGTGTCCCTTTGTGAGTGAGGTACCAGAAGGGGTTCGCAGATATATAGCATCTTCACAACAGATCTTGTGTTAGCAAAAATGCTTGTATGTATGAAATTTGAAGAGAGTTGGATCCTTATTTCGCTTTCTTTCATCGTTTTGTTTTTAATGGTCCGATATCCACGAATGGTCCGATATCTACCATCTTTATTGCAGATATTGGGGTTTGCAAAGTTGGAGCAAAAACAGACCATCGTTTCTATTTCTGTGCAAAAAAATATGTATTTTTTTTTTTGCAAATTTCGACCATATGTGGGGGATGTACCAGAAGGAGTGAACCGATATATTCCATTTTAACACCAGACCTTGGGTTAATATAAATATTAGGATCTGTGAAATTTGAAGACAATCGGACTCTTACATCACAATTTATGACAGTTTTAATTATTCCAAATTTTGACCCTTTGTGGGGGAGGTACCAGAAGGAGTGGACCCATATTGTCCGTTTTCGCACCAGACTTAGCACTGACGCAAATATTAGGATTTGCAAAGTTGGAGTAAAATCGTATTATCGTTTCTCTTTCTGTGCAAAAATATATATATTTGAAATTTTCCACCATTTTTGGGGAAGGTACCAGAAGAAGTGGACCGATATATTCCATCTTAACCAGCCATATGGCTAGAGAGGGTATATATCATTTAATACGGCCAAAACGTGCTTCATCGAAATAACGCTTTTAGACCCTAGGTCTTTTTGGGCCAAATCCGTTTCAGGACATTTGGAATCGATCTACCGATGTCCGTCCGTCTGTCTTCTGTCTGGCTGGTGCGCACTATAACTCTATTATAAAACTCAGATCGAGTTCGGAGATGGACAATATCGGTCCATTCCTTATGGAAATAGAAAAGATAATCCGATTTTGCTCCAACTTTGCAAATCCTAATATTTCCATCAGTGCTAGTCAGGTGCGAAAATGGACAATATCTGTCGACTCAATCGTGGACCTTATAAGTATATTTGAATGGAAATATATTTGTTAATGGCCAAAAGCAATGGATTTCATAAAGAACAGGGACCACCTTGTAAAACAAAAAACAGTAAAGAAAGTCTTAAAGTCGGGCGGGCCGACTTTATGATACCCTATACCACTTTGCTAATTCAGTAGAGCTCCACATAACAATTAAAAGTTTATATGGGAGATTTCAATCATACACGCTATGATTATAATTATAATTTAAATTTCAAAGGACCAAATATGCCGAAGCAATTGCATCTTTTAAATTCGGACTTGTATTGCCCATTTGGTGCACAATTAATTTGAAATCGGATAAAGATATATATGTTAGCTATATCCAAATCTGAACCGATCTCGATAAAATTTGGCAATGATATTTCTGAGCTGTATTTGATATATTTCCCTGAATATCGTTGTTACGGAGTGCATATTACGGCTGTGGGTAACAAATATAACAAATCGGCTGAACAATATATATGGAAGCTATGGCTATATCTGAACCGATCTTCACCAAATTTAACATACTTTCCTACCTTCTAGACTCAATTCGGCCGTAAGTGCCAAATTCCATCCCATTTGGACAAATATTAGACGTTTGGTGCACAATAAAAGGTAAATCGGACGAAGTTATATATGGGAGCTATATCCAAATCTGAACCGATCTCGATAAAATTTAGCAAAGGTATTTCTGAGCTGTATGTGATATATTTCCCCAAATATTGTTGTTACAGAATGCTTATTACGGCTGTGGAGAACAGAAATAACAAATCGGATGAATAATTCATATGGGAGCTATAGCTATATCTGAGCCGATTTCGATCAAATTTGGCATACTTATTTGCAGGCCTAATTTGGTTGTATGTGCAAAATTCCATACTATTCGATATTACACGTTTGGTGCACAATAAAAGGCAAATCGGACGAAGATATATATGGGAGCTATATCTAAATTTTTACCGATTATCTCCAATTTCAATAGGGTTCGTCCTTGGACCAAACACATGTTTCATCTGGATCGGGCAATAAATGCGAACTGTACTTTGTTTACAAAAATACATGGACAGACATGGCATAAATCGACTCAGAATGTGATTCTATGCAGATCATCAAAATGAACTATGGGTCTATCTCGTTTCCTTTTGCCTGTCACAAACAAATGTACAAAGACATAATACCCTGACCACCTTGTGGTGCAGGGTATAATGCTATTATGCAGGTCAAAATACTTACGGTTTTTTTGTCACAAACTTCCCGGTCAGGTATCATGACCTTATAAATAATTTACATAATCTTTTCGCCTACACATAAATCGTTGAATTTTAAAAGTAAAAATTCGTGGAATATAATATAGTACTTTATAGGAGATTCTGGAATTCATAGGCTGTTATCTGGTATTTCCAGCTTGTTTCTGTCCAAACTGGCAACACTACACACGTTCAAAACTCATATTTAGTGCCAATATTCGTCTCAATTTCAACAGGTCTCCATTTTCCTCACGTGAAAAACAGGCTAGTAGATCTACCAAAATCTACACCGAATGCTCTGTCGAGTAATGGGCGTATCTTTATGCCGTACGAAATGCATAATACGCCAAGCAGTGTTTCAGCTAACATTTAAATTCAACATTTTTTCTAGCAATTATGAGCAAAAGGAACTGGAAATCATTGCTATATCTCGCAGCAAACTTCAAACATCGATCGTTTAATACTAACCCATCGCAAGTCAGCGGCCAGCATCAAATAAAACATAGCTTTGTCGAGATAATTGCGATAAATGGTAAGCACATTTATACATAAAACGTGATATGGGTGTGTTTTAACCACCGCCCATTAATGTAGTTTAGGGTTTAGGGGTTTAATCTCCGCGTATTTTTTTTTATACCCTCCACCAAGAAAGTATGGAGGGTATATTAATTTCGTCATTCCGTTTGTAACTCATCGAAATAATCATTTTAGACCCAACAAAGTATATATATTCTTGATCAGCGTAAAATTCTAAGACGATTTAGCTCTGTCCGTGCGGCTGTTGTAATCACGCTACAGTCTAAACGAATTAAGATCGGAAGATCTCTTTTATCTGCAGGCAGGTCAAGTTCGAAGATGGACTATATCGGTCCACGATATCGTATAGGTACCCCCGGTACCCCCGATATTCGGTATTTTGATGATGTTAGCCACATTTTTCAATGTAATTGTCTGAAAATCCACACAAGTAGTTCCTTGTGGGTACTTTATACCTCGGCAGAGAATTATCTATATAGGTCCACAATATCGTATAGCCCCCATATAACGGTACCCCCGATATTCGGTATTTTGATGTTTTTAGCCATATTTTTCAACGGAATGGTCACAAGGGGTTCTTTGTACACAAGGGGTTCTTTGTGAGCCCTTTACCCCCCGACAGAGAATTCTCTATATAGGTTAACGATAACGTATAGCGATATTCGGTATTTTGATTATTTTAGCCACATTTTTTAGCCAAACGTATTGTCTGAAAATCCACACACGGAGTTCTTTGTGAGCACTTTACCCCTGAAACGGAATTGTCATATATAGGTCCACAATATCGTATATCCCCCATATAATGGTACTCCCCTATATTCGGTATTTTGATGATTTTAGCCACTTTTTCCAATGGAATTATCTCAAAATCCACACAAGGAGTTCCTTGTGAGTACTTTACACGCATACATAGATTTGTCCACAATATCGTATATCCCCCCATATATCGGCACCTTCCTATATTAGATATTTTAAAGATTTTAAAAGAATTTTTAATGGATTTTATTCTTTTGAAAATTTTCTAATTCGTTCCAAATGGTGGAGTGTATTCAAAGTTCGGCCCGGCCAAACTTACTGCTTTTTTACTTGTTTTTTTTTTTTTTTTGTTATACAGATTTTAGCTTAAAATAGATTATTTAACACAAATGCTTTGTTTGCCACGATCATATAGATCAGAAAGACATTATGAATTATAGAAGCAGTAAGTTCGGAGATTTTATGGGATTTTTAAAAATTTGTAGATCGGCAAGGAAAGGATCATTATAGATGGGCAAGTCAGTTCATCTACAAACATCACTGAGAGAGACACACCGATCAACAGCAACTCCCATTAAGTACTTTATCTATACTGCCAATGATCCACGTCATTTAGATAAAACGACATCAAAGTAAGACATCAACATGAAGTCTGATGAATAGAATGAATAAAAGTAATATGAATATTGGACTATTCAGAACAAGACCTTTGGGCTAACCTGAATGAACTAAACGTTGACCATAATTAGGTAGGATTGGAAGGACAAGTTCCATCTCTTGAATATTTTTTGAAATATTTGGTTTATCCGTTGATTTTTGATGTCTTCGTCAATAGCATATCAAAAGACACGAGGAATCAAGCCACATTTTAGGCTTAAAGCCGTACTATTACAAGGATGACATTAAAGATAAAAATATTCTTAATCAAATTTTACTACAAGCTGTCACAGAAAAGAAATCTGCTGTTCTATATATATCACAAAAATATTTGCATCGATATTCCAAAAAAAAGGACAGAATAAATGTTTTTTTTTTTATCAATATTCCTCACACTTTTTTCGAAATGACGCCTGAAAGTACCATACAATTTCATTTTATCCGAAAGGTAGCAGGAGAAGAAATATTCTACATAAAATTCCACGTCCCGTCATTCCGTCCGCCCGTCTGTCCATGTACTTTTGTGAACAAAATGCGGGTCGCATTTATTATCCCATTGAGATGAAATTTTCCAAAAAATATTTGTTTGGCCCAAGGACAAACACTATTGAAATTTGAGAATCGGTTCAAATTTAGTTAAACCTCCCATATACTATATGTTCAACCGATTTCGTGTTAATTATGCACTAAATGGCCAATATCAGTCCAAATCACTTGAATTTGGGCAACTTCGACCGAATTCAGTCTAGACGCGAGTATATTAAATTTGGTGAAAATCGGTTCAGATATAGCTATAGATCCCATATATATGTTTCCGCCGATTTGGTGTTTTAGTCCTCACATTCGTAATATGCAATCCACAGGAATAAAGTCCAGAAACACCTCTGCCAAATTGGATTAACATCGGTTCAGATTTGGATATAGCTTCCATTTATATCTTCAAGCGATTTCGAGTTAATTGTGGACCAAGTGGCCAATATCGGCCCAAATGACCTGAATTAAAGTACATCCGACTGAATTCAGTCTAGAAGCCGGTATATCAAATTGGTATACACATTTCATGCGATTTTTTCTTTAAGTCCCTAACATTCATAATATGCAACCCACAAGAATGATATTTGGTACCAGACATCTTATAGAGGTCGGAAATACCTTTGCCAAATTTTATCGAGCTCGGCTTAGATTTGGATATAGCACGCATATATATCCTCAATCCGATTTCAGGTTTATTGTGCAAATAATAGCCAATATCAGCCCAAATAGAGCGAATTTCGGAACGTACATTTCCATTTGGCGGAACTCGGCTCCGATATTTATTTTTATACCCTCCACCATAGTATGGAGGGTATATTAAGTTAGTAAGTTCCGTTTGTAACACCTCGAAATATACATTTTAGACCCCACAAAATATATATATTATTGATCAGCATAAAACTCTATGTCGATTTAACAATGTCGGTCCGTCTGTGGAAATCACTCTAGCTTCCGAGCAAAATGAAGTAGGTCGATAAAATTTTACTCAAATATGTATTATGTCTACAGGACTTTTGGTATTGAAAATGGGCCATGTAGGTCCACATCCTCGTATAGCGCCCAACGGTACCTCCCGATATGCGGTATTTTGATGATTTTAGCGAAATTATTTACCAGAACTATTTCAAATTTAGAATTTGAAGTTCGTAATGGATCAGCCTATGCCAGAAAATTGTCTGTGGAGGCTTATGACAACAGTTGCGTATGCAGGTCCACGTCGTCGTATAGACCCTAATATACGACTACGTTCAGTACTTTTAAGATTTTAACAGAATTTTTAATGGATTTTAATTTTTTGACAATTTTGTACCAAATTGTGGAGAGCATTCAAAGATCGTCCCGGCCGAACTTACAGCTTTTTACTTGTTTTAATGTAATCCTTCTCGAAGTGATATCATGCCCTCTGTAGAAATGTTATTTGGTATAAAATATAGAAATGTCTCCGTCAAATTTAGTGAAAATCGATTCAGAATTGGATATGCCTCCCATATATTAGATCCCTCTGAAACCAAACTGTAACTGCTCTAAAGCCAAATGTTGATAGGTGGTATGATCTACTTGAAATAAATTATTTTGTTACGGGAGCTCTAATAAATATACATAATGGTATAAGGTATCATGTCCGCCCGACTTTTCCTCGGATTACATCTAGAATCATTGGTAATGAAAATAGGTCCTATCGGTCTACTATTTGGAATAGCCGCCTTGCGAGGAACCCACAGGATAGGTTTTTCAGGTTTTGACTGCCTTTTCCATATTGGTTATAATTTAATATTTGGTGTTTTTATTGGTCTACATTTTGGTATATCACCCATATAACGGCATCATTCAATTTAAGGTTTTTAGTTTTTTTTTTCACGATTTTAGGTATTTTTTAGGGTGTCGCCTCGTTTTAAACCATATTTTTATGATTGTTAGTATCGCACACAAATTGTTCTAAATAGGTCCATGTTACTTTCAACAGACTATCACCAGATATTCGACACTTGAAGGAGTCTTTAGGATTGATAGGAATCAAAAATTTCGTTTCAAAATAATTTGGAGAGGGTTCATATGAACTTACTCTTACTGCTTACATTCCTTCATGGTGGAGAGTATCAACTGCTCGTCCTGAATTTAATTAAGGCCATTCTTACTTTTAGATAGTTTAATTAATTTTATTTAGTTTCAGTTGGCGGTTTTCGACCATAGGCTACAATTAGGTCATATTTCATTATATATTTTGTTTGGGCTTCGCTTCTCTTGGCATTTGCTGCATATTCTACCATAACGGCAACAAAATCATTTAAAAATTCCGAATGACACGAAATCGGAATGTGATCTAAGGTACCACAAACGGATTTGACATTTTCTGTGAAGAAATAAAAAAATAGAAATTAAAATTTAAATATGGCGCCCAATCAAAAAGACTGCGGCAAAAATATTCAAAACCTACCTTTTAAATTCTCCATATTGCCATAGTCAAATATTCTCGATTTAATATCAATTGCAATGTCGCAAAATCCACTCTCCGCCATCAGCTGGCTAAAATCTCCCTTGGGATCGTTGGAATAATGCAATGGTGATATGCAACGATTTGAATCTTTCATGTATTCCGACCAACGGGAAAATTGACTCGTGTAATTGTAGGCATCGAAAATGTTGTGGGTGGACATGAAAATCAGCAGACAATCACCTCCCTCGGGGCGTATAAAATTGTAAATGTTTTTCAAAGCGGTTCTACAAAGAGAGAACTTTAATAAAGTCATGGAAGATATAGCAAAGTCCACTTACTTATAATCCTGAACCCAATGCAAACACAAAGCCGATGTTATATGATCAAATCGGCCCAGCAAGTTACCGGGAAGTCCCACTTTCATGGCAATATCCAAAACTTCAAATTCACATCTCTCATCTTCATGACCATAATACGATCTTGCAAAATCCACCATATCCTCAGATAAATCAGAACAAACGACTCTCGAAAATTCACTTGGCATAAGGGGTAGAATATGTTCCATCAAGACATCTCCCGGACCCGAACCTATATCCAGCAATGCATCTTTTCCATCCACCCTCCATTGAAATTTCTCAAAACTTTTTGCAATAATTTCTCCAATGTCTGCTTTGAGAGCCCGATGTGATTTGTGGTATAATGCAGGCTGATTCATTTCTAACGATTAATTTCTCAGCGATCACACAGTTAGATGAAGATTGTGACTAAATCAATCTTGTTTCGCCAATCCATTCATTTTATAGAACTTCCAGCAAATGCAAACGGGTTCCATTAATTGTTTTAGTGTTCCATTAATTCAATAAATGAAAGCATTCCGCATCCCCTTTCATTAGCATTTGATAGCTGTATCAATCTTAGCAGTAAATATTTGTTTGAACTAGTTAACCCCATTGTGCGCGTATCTAGATAATTATATATGCTTTTTTTTTTTAAATGGGAAAACGTGTTTTGTGTCGGAGAAATAGATTTCAAACCGGAATAAGATACTATAAAACGCGTAAGATAAATAAAACGTGTTTTTTATACCCTCCACCATACTATGGAGGGTATATTAACTTTGTCATTCTGTTTGTAACTCCTCGAAATACTCATGTCAGACCCAACAAAGTATATATATTCTTGATCAGCGTAAAATTCTAAGTCGATTTAGCCATGTCCGTCTGACTGTCCGTACCTCCCGATATTCGGTATTTTGATGATTTTAGCGATATAATTCACCGGAATTGTTTCAAATTTGGTATTGGGTCTGTGCAGGTCCACGACTTCGTATAGCCCCCATATAACGGTACCTCCCGATATTCGGTATTTTGATCATGTTAGCGACATTATTCACCGGAATTGTTTCAAATTTAGTATTTGAGATTTGTAATGGATACTACAGCATATGACAGAAAATTGTCTATGCAGGTACAGGTCTTCGTATAGGCCCCATATATCAGTACCCCCCTATATTCGGTTGTTACAATACCCACCGAAATTTTTTGAGATGTCGTATTTGACGTTCGTAATGGATGTGACAGAAAATTGTCTATGCTGGTCCAGGTCTTCGTCCACAGCTCCGATATAACGGTACCTCCCTATATACTATATTTTGATGATTTTAGCTACATTATTCACCGCTTACTTCAAGTTTCGAATTTGAATATGGTAATGGCTTCTAACAGACAAGGCCTATGTAGGCTGTATTCGGTAATTTTAAAATTTTAACAGAATTTTTTAAGGACTTTATTTTTTGAAAATTTCCAAATTCGTTCCAAATGGTGTAGGGTATTTAAAGTTCGGCCCGGCCGAACTTACTGCTTTTTAACCTGTCTGATTTCTATGCAGGTATATATTTATTAGTAATTTTTCCTAATATTTAATGTTGTTGCTTTCAAAAGGCCAGCATTTAAGCTGCAGTCAACGCCCGGACCGGACAATGTTTTCAAAATTCTGGTTTTTTTTCATGATAAAGTCACATGTTAAGCGACTTATTCCACATTTTTATACCCTCAGCCATATGGCTAGTTATACCCTCAGCCATATAGCTAGAGAGGGTATATATCATTTGATACGGTCAACACGTGCCTAGTCGAAATAACGGTTTTAGACCATAGGTCTCTTTGAACCAAATCCGTTTTAGGATATTTGGAGTCGATCTAGCGATCTTCGTCCGTCTGTCTGTCTGGCTAGTGCGCACGATAAATCTCGAAGGGAGTATCCGATTTGGTTCAAACTTGGTACATCGTAATATTTTTGTCAAACTTAGATTGAGTTCGGAAATGGGCAACCTTCCCCACAAAATGTCGAAATTTTCAAATAAATTTATTTCCTGCACAGAAAGAGCGTTTGTCCGATTTTGCCCGTACTTTGTAAATCCTAATATTTTCATCAGTGCTATAATATCGGCGAACTCCATCAGGTACAACCCCCCCCCCCCCACAAAGGTTCAAAATTTTGAAAAATTACCACTTTTATCAAATGTGATGATTGTTTTTAAATTTCACAGATCCCAATATCAACCTAAGGTCTGGCTATAAGATGGAATATATCGGTCCACTCCTTCTGGTACCTTCCCCACAAAAGGTCCAAATTAAAAAAAAAAAAATTTGCACAGAAACAGGTCGAATTTCTGAATATCCATTAAGCTCATAACACGCAAAATTAACATCCGATTCCCATTGCTTCGGAACGTACTGCATAAGGGGTTAAACATTTGAATAATCATAACAAAAGTCAAAATATTTTTAAAAATCGTACATTGGCTGATGGTATACATCTGTCGGAAAAAACGGGCAGATACTTTTTAACTTGTTCTTTCTTATTTTTGTAGCACAATTTTAGGATGCTCTACAAAATTTGGATACCATTCACCATACTATGAAGGCTTTATTACATTTGTCATTCCCTTTGCAACACCTCGAAATATTCTTTGGAGACCCCAAAAAGTATGACTCTCCGTCCGTCTATTGAAATCGCCATAGAATCCAGATTATTTAATGTAGAGCTGAAATCTGGCATAAAGACTTATATTATATGCAGTCTGATTGATATTGAAAATGGGCTACATGGGTCCACGTTAAGGCCCACATATAATGGTACCTCCAGATTGAATTTTAAAGTTTCTGCCACGTCCTACCAAATTGTGTGAAACTTTGTATCTGGGATTCTTAGTAGAGCTGTTCTCTCCCTGCAATAAAATATTCGCTGCAGGTCCACTAAATGGTACTATATAACGGTACCTCCCGATTTTCACCATTTTTAAGGTTTCTGCCACAATTTCGAACATAATTAGCAACAAAATGTGCCGTTGGGTGTTGGGATTGAGATGCAATTCAGAAATTTGATATTGAAGTCACGGTTGTTACCTGGGGCTTACAAATGGAGACGTTGAAATAGTTTTGAACACAAAAATTGGATGTGAGTCCATTGTGCAATGGTTTTGCTAATTTCCTCCCGACAGATTTTGAAAAATTGTTGGTGTACAAACTCTTAAAATTTTGTCCAAAGTATGAAGTTTTGATTAAAAATGGTTGACAAACTGAACGAATTGTGTGGTAAACTCCTTATAAAAAACCAGCAAGGAAAAATCAAAAGTCAGGCGAGGCCGACTATATGATACCCTACACAACTATACATATTTAGTAGAGCTCACATTACAAAAGCATTTATTTTAAGTAGATCATACCTTCTATCAATCTTGGGCTTTAGAGCAGTTATAGTTTTGGTTTCAGATGGAACTAGGGAGGCATATCCAATTCTGAAACGATTTTCAATAAATTAGACGGAGACAGTTTAATCTTTTATATCAAATAGCATTGCTATAGAGTGCATGATATCACTTCGAGAAGGATTATTTAAAAAAATTATTTGGACTGATGGATTAAGGATATACATGATTATATCCAAATACAAGCCGATCTCGATAAGCTCTATAATATATCTGTACCAAATATCATTGTTGTCGAATGGATATTACGAATGTGAGGGACTTAAACTCCAAACCTTATGAAACATATATATGGGGCTATAGCTATATCTGAACCGATTTTCTCCGAATTCGATGTACTTGCTTCTAGGCAGAATTCGGTCGGGTGTACCAAAATTTAGGACTTTTGGATTAATATTGGCCATTGGGTGCACAATTAACCCGAAACCGGTTGAAGATATATGTGGGAGCTATATCCAAATCTGAACCGATATTGCTAAAGTTTGGCAGAGGAATTTCTGGGCTGTATCTGATATCTGGTACCAAAGATCATTGTTGCGCATGTGAGGGACTTATATACCAAATCGGATGAAACCTATATATGGGAGTTATAGTTATATCTGAACTGATTTTCACAAAATTTAATGTACTTGCTTCTAGACCTAAGTTGGTGGGATGTGCCAAATTCAGGTCATTTGGACTGATATTGGCCATTTAGTGCCCAATTAACCTTAAATCGGTTGGTAATATATATGGGAGCTACATCTAAATTTGAACCGATTCTCACCACCAATTTCAATAGGGTTCGTCCTTGAGCCAAACAAATATTGTTTGGAAAATTTAATCTCAATCGGATAATAAATGCGACCTGAATTTTGTTCACAAAAATATTTGGACAGACGGTCGACGGATGGACTGACATGCATAAATCGACTAAGAAAGTGATTCTATGAAGATACTCAAAAGTAACAAACAAATACACAAAGACATAATACTCTTACCACTTTGTGGTATAGGGTATGAAAACTAAGTTTAAGTACACTTTTTATATAGCCCCACTTTATAACCTTCCCTTGATCCTCCCCAACAAATGGTCAAAATTTTGAATTAAAAACGACAAATTAAGGGTTTATTTTTGCTATTTGCGACACACTTCTGGTACCTCGTCTACAAAGGGTCACAATTGGCAATACTTTTATCGGTCATAACAAGTCATCGATTCTTTACAACTTGCTATATCAAAATATGATTTCGCATAAAATTGAACATCAATGTTCGATTTTCTTATAATTTTGCCCATGTCAATATTTTTATCTGTATTACATGAAGTATGAAAATGGAATGCTTCGATCGGTCATATCTGGTACGTCGGAATATTTATATCATATTTATTTAGGACCGATACGATTCCTTCAGAACCCACTCCATTGAGGGTCAACTGTTAGAATAGTTATAACACAAGTCAAAATATATTTAAATAATCGAACATTGGCTGAGGGTGTACATCTGTCGGCAAAACCGACTGATGAAGTAGGGTGAGAAAATGTATTGATATTATATAGACAAATTTACTAAATTTTGTATAACGTTGTGATTATATAGGTAAATAGGTAAGATACTTAAATTTATCAGAAGTGAAGGTACCACTGGAATTAGTTTAACGAGCAGAGCCAGAAATCGTCAATCGATGTTATTTTTTGATGTTTACTATTTGGCTACTAAATAGAACAAATCTCACCTCGCAAACCTATGTATAACAGCCTCATCCTTCACCCAATATAAAAATAATTGGGCTAATAAATACACGATTTCGCCTTCTTAAATTTTATCAAAAAAATATCTTTAAATATGTTAATATATAATAAATAGTACATCTCACAATTAAATTTATTCTTAAAAAACTCAGCAAATATTATTTGATTTCTTAGCATATATCACGGCTAATGCATATGGTATTGGAAATGTGTCATTAAAATCCACTTCTTCTATGTTCAAACCCAAAATTTCACAGACACAGGACAAAAAGTCATTGATAAAATCACTTTGTAAATCTGTGGGTATTCGATCGATAAAGGGATTCACAGCAACCATGTTATCTGCAAGAGAATGATTTTTTTTTTTAAATGGTGAAATAAAGTTAAAATTTTTAAACTCATTCTTACTTCGAAAAACATTCAAGCTTTTGTAGGGGAAAATTTTATTTCGTATATCCACCTGATAGTCAGTAAATCCAGCCTCTTGTAGAAAATCTATGAAATCGCGTTTTGGATCTGGTGAAAACATTTGTTGTGGCATAAATGATTCAACATCAATCATATATTGAGACCATTTCTCAATTTGACTTAGCCGCCTATAGGCCTCAAATGTGGGATGATATGTTACGGTAACCAAAAGGCAATCTCCACCTTGGGGCTTTAGGAAATCATATATGTTGCGGAATGTTTGTCTGGAAAGACAAGAAAAAAATCAATAACATAAAAATTTTGCACTTGTAACGTATTTGAAATTGCAAGTGTTTGGACTTTTTATACCCTCCACCATAGTATGGAGGGTATATTAAGTTTGTCATTCCGTTTGTAAACCTCGAAATATACATTTTTGAAATATTTTTTTAAAAATCCACGTCTGACAGTCCTTTAGAAATATTTTTTAAAAATCCACGTCTGACAGTCCTTTAGAAATATTTTTTAAAAATCCACGTCTGATAGTCCTTTAGAAATATTTTTTAAAAATCCACGTCTGACAGTCCTTTAGAAATATTTTTTAAAAATCCACGTCTGATAGTCCTTTAGAAATATTTTCTTTAAAAAATCCACGTCTGATAGTCCTTTAGTAATATTTTTAAAAAAAATCCACAACTGATAGTCCTTTAGTAATATTTTTAAAAAAGCCACACCTGATAGTCCTTTAGAAATATTTTTTAAAAATCCACACCTGATAGTCCTTTAGAAATATTTTTTTAAAAGTCCACGTCTGATATTCTTTTAGAAATATTTTTTAAAAAATCCACGTCTGATAGTCTTTTAGAAAATTTTTTGAAAAATTCACGTATGATAGTCCTTTTGAAATATTTTTTTAAAAATCCACGTCTGATGGTCCTTTAGAAATATTTTTTTAAAAATCCACGTCTGATAGTCCTTTAGAAATATTTTTTTAAAAGTCCACGTCTGATAGTCCTTTAGAAATATTTTTTAAAAATCCACGTCTGATAGTCCTTTAGAAATATTTTTTTAAAAATCCACGTCTGATAGTCCTTTAGAAATATTTTTTTAAAAATCCACGTCTGATAGTCTTTTAGAAATATTTTTTAAAAATCCACGTCTGATAGTCTTTTAGAAATATTTTTTTAAAAATCCACGTCTGATAGTCCTTTGAAATATTTTTTAAAAATCCACGTCTGATAGTCCTTTGAAATATTTTTTTTAAAAATCCACGTCTGATAATCCTTTAGAAATATTTTTTTAAAAATCCACGTCTGATAGTCCTTTAGAAATATTTTTTTTAAAAATCCACGTCTGATAGTCCTTTAGAAATATATATTTTTTAAATCCACGTCTAACAGTCCTTTAGAAATATTTTTTTTAAATTAACGTCTGATAGTCCTTTAGAAATATTTTTTAAAAATTCACGTCTGATAGTCCTTTAGAAATATTTTTTTAAAAGTCCACGTGTGACAGTCCTTTTAGAAATATTTTTTAAAAATACACGTCTGATAGTCCTTTAGAAATATTTTTTAAAATTCCACGTCTGATAGTCCTTTAAAAATATTTTTTAAAAATCCACGTTTAATGGCTCTGATAGTCCTTTGGAAAAAAATGTTTTTTTAATCCAAGTTTAATAGCTCTGTTAGTCCTTAAAAATATTTTTTTTTAAACCGGAGTTTAATGGCTTTGCTAGTCCTTTGGAAATATTTTTTTAAAACTTCACGATTCATAACCCCGATAGACCCTCAAAAATATTATTTTTGAGATCCTTCACTCACCTCAAACTCCTCGGGTACATCATGGCATAAAACGATGTCACATGATCGAATTGTCCCTTCATATTCAATGGCACTCCCCTCTCCGAACCCATGTCGAAAACTTTGAATTCCACTCCCTTAAAGTGGCCATATTGATTGCGGGCGAAATTCACCATTTTTGCACTGATATCGGAACACACCATCCGTTGAAAATTCTCCGGCATTTGTGGATAAATAAAATCAAAGAAAACATCACCGGATCCTGAACCCAAATCGATTAGGGAATCTCCTCCCTGTGGCAGCCATTGCAATTTTGGGGCATATTCGGCCATAATACACTCAGCATCGTAACGTTGGACATCGTTTGCCCTGTGATACCATTCCGGATGATTCATTTTGTCGGTGAAAAAAAAAAATACTCGAACTTCAAACTATTTATTTTCAGAACCTGCGTTAGCTTCGTACTCCAATTAGCGTTTGTTTCGAATTATTTCGCCTGGCAAAGGTTTTATACAACCTCGCGTGCCTGCCTTCAAACTGTCACTCTAAAGGAATGAGCGAATTTTCCAAAAATAAATTGAAAGGCCTTATTGACATTAGGCCATACCCTACTAACACTACCAAGACAAGGCATCAGGTTAAGCAGCGACTAGGCTCTTCGATTTGTAACAGGTTTAAAATACCCTCCCCTCCAATAAATTTCTTTTTCTTTCCAAAACACATGTTTTTTGTTCTAAATTACCTTTTTTTTGTTCAATTCGTCACCAATCTCGTCCACCCAAAGAAAAATGTAGAAAAGGCAGCAAAAAACGTAAACAGAAGCCCGCCTGCATTTATTATTCGTCTCCGTAATATTCCATATTTTATTCGATTCGCATAATTTGTGTTTTTTTAATGAAAATCGTTTAGACTTAATATTTATTGAAATATTTCTGATAACAAAAGTGTCTGGAGAATGACGACCCCTGGAAATTGTTTTTGTTTCGATTTGCTTATTTTGTCTAGTCATGGTTTTTTTGGAATTTATTTTTTTTTTCTTTTTCGGTTTCTTTCAAACTGTCACTCTAAAGGAATGAGCGAATTTTCCAAAAATAAATTGAAAGGCTTTATTGACATTAGGCCATACCCTACTAACACTACCAAGACAAGGCATCAGGTTAAGCAGCGACTAGGCTCTTCGATTTGTAACAGGTTTAAAATACCCTCCCCTCCAATAAATTTCTTTTTCTTTCCAAAACACATGTTTTTTGTTCTAAATTACCTTTTTTTTGTTCAATTCGTCACCAATCTCGTCCACCCAAAGAAAAATGTAGAAAAGGCAGCAAAAAACGTAAACAGAAGCCCGCCTGCATTTATTATTCGTCTTCGTAATATTCCATATTTTATTCGATTCGCATAATTTGTGTTTTTTTAATGAAAATCGTTTAGACTTAATATTTATTGAAATATTTCTGATAACAAAAGTGTCTGGAGAATGATGACCCCTGAGAATTGTTTTTGTTTCGATTTGCTTATTTTGTCTGGGCATGGTTTTTTTGGGATTTACTTTTTTTTCTTTTTCGGCATTTAGTTATAACGGCACACTTGTCAATGCATAAATCAAAATTGATGTTAATTTATTGCGAGTTTGTGATAGTCTGTGGGCAGTTTTATCCCTTACTATCAATGTGGAGATAGATACACCAACACACGTACAAAGTACTTCTATACAAGTTAGCACGAGTTTCGAGGCCGGAAAATTTGGAACACGGCTTCTTGTACCTCTCCAAGAAAAAAAATTAAAATTTCCAAGAAAATTACACTGTGCAAAACTTCTTTCAGTAGATCTGCTGAGTAAAGTAAACTAAATAGAGGGGACAAGTTCTCTCTTCTTCAACATATTTTGAAAATTTCCGATGAAGATTCCTTGGAATTCTTAGATTTAGGTATATAATGTCTTCGGCCAAGTTTCAGATAACAAGACGAGGATTATATAATTTTAAGCCACGAGCTAATCACCTAAACGAAATTTTTAGTTATTTTTATAAACTCCAACGTTTGGTTGGAAGGCATATTAAGTTAGTCATTCCGTTTGTAAAACCTCGAAACATAGATTTGAGACTCAACAAATTATATAAATTCTTGGTCAGAATAAAATTAGATTATGTCAATTTAGCGATGTCCGTCTGTGTGTCTGTCTGTGGAAATCAATCTATCCGAACGAAATGAAATATATTGATAACATTATACTCAGATGTATGTTAAGTCTGCAGGACTTTTGGTAGTGAAAATGGGCCATGCAGGTCCACGTTTTGGTATAGCCCCCAAATAACGGTACATCCCGATATTCGGTATTTTGATTATTTCAGCGACATTATTCACCAGAATTGTTTCAAATTTGACATTTGAAGTTCGTAATGGATACTACAGCCTAAGACAGAAAATTGTCTGTGCAGGTCTACGTCTTCGTATAGCCTCCATAAAACGGTATCTCCCGAAATTCGGTGCTTTGTTGATTTTAGCGACATTATTCACCGGAATTGTTTCAAATTTGGCATTTGAAGTTCGTAATGGATACTACAGCCTATGCCAGAAAATTGTCTGTGCAGGTCCAATATAATGGTACCTCCCGATATTCGGTATTTTGATGATTTTAGCTACATTATTCACCAAGTTTTTTTTTTTTTTTTAAGTTTCGCATTTGAATATTGTAATGGCTAGTGACAAATGTTACCTATGCAGGTCCATGTGGACGCAAATACCCTAATATTACAGTTACATCCTGCATTTTTAAGATTTTAGCAGAATTTATAACGGATTTTCTTGTTTTTGAGAATTGCCAAATTCGTTCCAAATGGTGGAGGGTATTCAAATTTCGACCCGGCTGAACTTTTTGTTTGTTTTTCTTTTTTTAATTTTATTGAATGAAAGCAAAAAATTTCAGAAATAGCATCAACTTTTAGAATAAGTTTAGATTTGTTCAAACTGGTCACCTTTGGCACGAATTATGGTCTTCAAACGGCCAATGAATCCGTCACACGCTGCCCGAATGTTGCTCTGCGATATTTTGGTCCATTTCCGGCGAAGCGCTTTCTTGAGGTGATCGACACTTTGCTATGTTTTAGTGCCAACTTTGCTTTCCAAAATACTCCAGACACAATAGTCCAACGAATTGGTATCCGGAGATTTTGGTGGCCATTGTGCTCTCGAAATGAAGCGAGGAACCTCATTTTGTAACCATTCTTAGGTGGCGCGTTCTGAGTGCAATGGTGTTGAATCCTGTTGGAATGTTCAAGGTCTGCAAATTGTTTGCGTGCCCAATACACCCTCCAGAATATTTTCGCGATATTTCTGATTTTTTCGCAGTTATTCTGATGCCACGGCCGATTAATACAAGCGGAATGCGACCATCGGCTGTTATGGCGGCCCACACTATCACCACGGCCGGCGCTTAAGTTCTGGTGGCCAACCCAAGGTGCACATTTCCAGCTGACTTCTTTGGCAAGTAAATTTTTTTTGTTTTCAAACTGCTGGACAACGAATGTTTTCTCATCGGAGATCGGAGAAAATCAAATTCGGCAGTTCACAAAGCGATGCAACTCTTTAGCTCTTTTGAGTTTATTTTCTTTCTGTTGCGGTGTAAGTTCTTGCACTTTTCGGAATTTCAATGGCTTTACCCCGAGCTCATTTTTCAATATCTGCCGAATGGAATATTGCGATATGTTCAGCTCAGGATCCATTTTTCAGTCACTGCGACGCGGGTTTCGATCAAGTCGCTTCTTTACTTTTTGAACCATTTCTGCTGACTGCTGATGTTGCTGCTTTGTTTCTTGACGCCAGGCTACGCTACCAGTATCACGGTAACGAGCGATGTTGATGGAGATACAAAAGATTTATTCACATTTAAATGCTGGAGTGCTCTAATGATAGCCACTTGTGGTTCTCCAGCCAAATATAAAGAAGTCACACTATCACGCTTGAATTTCATCACGAATAATTTTTTTCTGAAAAATTCTCACCAAAATGCTTTTGTACGCTTGTAAACAATATAATGAGCTGTCACTGGAATAAATTCAACAGCTGTCGGAGGATTGGCTTAGAAATCTCACTATGTGTTTTCCCAAATTTCATTACGCCGTAATGCATGGCTTCAAAAGTTCGGACGGCAGAGTTTATCGCCTTTTTTAATTGTTGTAAATTAATTAAGCAATAATTAATACATACTAGGAACCTTTGCTTTTCACATAATTTTTAATACATAATTATCAACCATATATATGTAGTTGAGCTATAAAAATCGAAAGTCTACATTCAAAGCTCAGATTATTTACCGACATTTTCGAATCGTTATTCATAGAGTTAATATATATTTTGTCTCAATAATTTTTTTTTTTCCAAAACATGAATAATCCCGAGCTGTATCGCAAAGCAAATGCCTGTCAACGATGCGATGCCCAGCAGATAATCAAAGAATATTTCCCCCAACTGAACTGGAATGGCAAGGATTCTCTCATAGATTTGGGTACTGGGTCCGGTGATGTACTCATGGATTTTGTGCACCCTTCATTGCCGTGTAATTTTCAAAGGCTAGTGGGTAGCGACATCAATCCCAAAATGGTTGATTATGCCCAGCATGAATATGGTCATCATAAGAATGTGGAGTTTCGTATTTTGGACATGGCTACACGGAAGAATTTACCCATCGATTTGAGGGGACAATTTGACCATGTCACCTCCTTTTATGCTCTGATGTATGCATCGGATTTAAGGTAGGAAAGATGTAGAGCAGAATTCTAAATCATTTTCCGTTTACGTTTAAATTATTAATTTGATTAATTTTTTCAAGACAAACTCTTTCGAATATTTTGGATCTCTTACGCCCAGATGCGGGAGGTGATTGCTTGCTTTTGACTCTAATACACCATCACGTGTATCTTTCGTATAAAATTCTGGCAGCCATGGATAAATGGTGGAAATACATGTACAACATGGACTCATATATACCACCACAAATTTATTGGAAAAATCCCATGCATAAATTTGAAAATTTAATGTTTGGCAGTGGATTTTCAGAATGCCACGTGGATATACAATCGAAAATATTCACCTACGACAATGTGGAGGTGTTCAGAAGTAATATTTTCCTTTATAGTTTTTAATTGTTTTTTTTTTAATATAATTTTTTTAAGCAAACATGGAAGCGGTATGTCCATTTCTACCACGCATTCCACAAACGCTACAATCCGAGTTTATGGACGACTTGATGTATCATTCCTTTCAAATCATTGGCATAAATTATTACACTATGAATCGACGTGCCATATCTCCAATACCACATAGGGTGGCAGTGATATATGCCAGAAAATTGGGACAAATAGGGCTGAAATAAGCAGCAGTTACAGTGGACCATAAATCTGTAGGGAGAATTAAGAAATTCTTTACTGTTGGTAATTTGGAAATTTTTCTATTAAAAACAAGTTAAAAAGCAGTAAGTTCGGCCGGGCCGAACTTTGAATACCCTCCACCATTTAAAACAAATTTGTTAATTTCCAAAAAAAAAAAATAAAATAAAAAAACAAAAGGTATAATCCGTTAAAAATTCTTTTAAAATCTTAAAAATAATAAGAAATTGCTATTATTTTAGCGTCTACAAGAAATCGTAGACCTGCAAAGGGCAATTTTCTGTCACATTTTGTAGTACCCATTAGGTACTTCAAATACGAAATTTGAAACAATTCCGGTGAATAATGTCGCTGAAATTAGCAAAATACCAAATATAGGGAGATACCGATATATGGGAGTCGTACAAAGACCTGGACCTGCACAGATAATTTTTTTATCGTAAGCTGTAGCACCCATTACAAAGTTCAAATATGAAATATGAAACAATTCCGGTGAATAATGTCGCTGAAATTAGCAAAATACCGAATATAGGGAGGCACCGATATAGGGGGGCTATATAATGACCTGAAACTGCATATACAATTCTCTGTCATAGGCTGTAGTACACATTAAGAACTTCAAATACGAAATTTGAAACAATTCCGTTAAATAATGTCGCTGAAAACACCAACATACCGAATATGGGGAGATACCGATATTTAGGGCCTATACGAAGACCTGGACTTGCATATACAATTGTCTGTCATAGGCTGTAGTACCCATGAAGAACTTTAAATACAAAGTTTGAAACAATTCCGGTGAATAATGTCAACAAAATACCAAATATAGGGAGGTACAGTTATATGGGGGCTATACCTATGCTTGGACCTATATAGCCCATTTTTAATACCAAAAGTCCTGCAGGTCAAACACACATATAAGTAATATTTTATAAACCTATTTCAATTTATTCGGAAGCTAGAGTGATTTCCACAGCCGAACAGACAGACACAGACGGACACAGACGGACGGTCATCGTAAAATCGACATAGAATTTTATGATCAAAATTATATATACTTTGTGGGGTGTAAAATGTATATTTCGTGGTATCCATTTTCGTACCTGACCTAGCACTGATGTAAATTTAAGGATTAGCAAAGTTGGAGGAAAATCGGATTATCCTTTCTCTTTCTCGATATAACGATATACCAAGTTTGGACCAAATCGAGTACTCCCAGCCGGCCAGACAGACAGACGGACATCCCTAGATGAACTCCGAATGTCCTGAACCGGATTTGGTCCAAAGAGACCTAAGGTCTAAAACTGTTATTTCGATGAGGCACGTCTTGGACGCATCATATGTTATATACCCTCCGTAGCCATATGGCTGTACTGTTAAATATGCAAATATGTTAAATACTGCAAACTAGTCTTGAAGGTACTAGTTCTAACGATAAAATAGGTCAGAAACGAACACAGGATAAGGGCGGGTCTCCCCCCAAATATCAATTTTTTCTGATATTTATGCATATTTTACAAGGAAAATATATTTTTGGGTTAATCTCCCCCTGCCCCCTCCGTCGGTTATAATCTCACTACATTAAAAACGAATTAAGATAGGAAGCGAAAAATTTGCACAGATATGTATTTTGTCTGTAGGCAGGTCACGTTCGGTACCCCCCAATATTCGGTATTTTGATGATTTTATCCAAATTTTTCAACGGAATTGTATGAAAATCCACACAAGGAGTTCCTTCTGGGTACTCTAACCCCTGGAAGAGAATTATCTATATAGGTCCATGATATCATATAGACCGCATGTAACGGTACCCCCCGATATGGGGTATTTTGATGATTTTAGCCACATTTTTCAACGGAATTGTCTTAAAATCTACACAAGGAGTTCTTTGTGAGTACTTTACCCCCAGACATAGATTTGTCTGTATAGGTCCACAATATCGTATATTCCGCCATATATCGGCACCTTCCGATATTCGGTAGTTTTAAGACTTTTACAGAATGGATCTAATTTTTTGTGGAATTTTCCTAATTTGTTGCAAATGGTTGGTGGTATTCTGCTTCTTTAATTGTTATAAGCAAAATTATTACTTCGATGAGTTGCAAACGGTATGACGAACTAAAAACTCCACCACACTATGTATGGTGGATGGTACATGGAGGATATGCAAACATACTTCGCCATTGAATACAATCAATGATTCAATGAAAAGAAGAAAAATAAAACATATTTTGGGTACAAACACCTCTCAAACTAATATTTACTTTGTCGATGGAACACTTCGAGTGCATAGAACGAGACCAAATAAACGCAGAGTACATAATTTCCATAATGTATGCAAATATGATCGAAACAGATGTCTTATATTTGTTATTATTAACCAAATTTATTCAATGAAAAATCGTGGTTAATTATGAAATTCGTATCATTATTATAGGTACATACAACAATACATATTTTGTTTGTACAAGTCGACTTGCATTTCTGAAAACACACTTTTTGCGAGTTATCCCCCAAAAACTTGCAATTAAACGTTAAATTCTAAGACGATCTAGCCATGTCTGTCTGTCTGTTGTAATCACGCTATTTATCGAACGAATTGAGATAGAAAGCTAAAATCTGGCATACATCATAGCTTACCATAGGCAGGTTAAGTTCGCAAATGGGCCATGTCGGTCCACGTTTTCGTATAGCCCCTATATAACGGTACCTCCCAATATTCAGTATTTTCATGATTTCAGCGACAGTATTTACCGGAATTATTTCAAATTTCATACTTAAAGTTCGTAATGGGTACTACAGCCTATTACAAATATTGTTGTATGCAGGTCCACGTCACCGGAATTGTTTCAAATTTTTTATTGGAAGATCTTAATGGTTACTACAACCTAAGGAAAAAATTTCTTATGCAGGTCCACGTCTTCGTATAGCCCCTATATAATGGTACCTCGCGATTCTCGGTATTTTTATGATTTCTGCGACATTATCCACCGGAATTGAACAAATTTCGTATTTAAGGTTCGTATTGGTTACTACCGCCTATGACAAAAAAATCGAATGTAGGTTAATGTTTTCGTATTTCCCCATATAACGGTACAACGGAATTTTGTCAAATTTAGTATTTGACGTTCGTAATGGGCACTACAGCATATGACAAAAAAATTTCGTAAGCACGTCTTCGTATAGTCTCCATATAACTGTTTTCATTTAAGTGGTAGTTTCCGAAAGTCTTTTTTGAAAATTTTCAAGTTCCTTCCAAATGGTGGAAGGTATTAAAAGTTCGGCCCGGCCGAACTTAGCTTCTAAAATGTTAGCTTCTAAAATGTTAACAATTCAACTGACGGCTTTTGAAATATCTTCTATGTATGGTAAACAAAGTAGTTATCAAGAACAGAAGACTTTTATCACAGCGCGGAATGTTAGGTACTAATAGATGGCGAGGTTGAACAAACAACAACCGAATTTAAACAGGTGATCGCTATATTAATGATTCAGATGGGCTGTTTGTTAAGTATTATTATTATTATGACAGAAACTATTAAACAAAAAAAATTAAAAATATTTATTAAACGTTGTGTCGTACGCATGGCACCGTGCTTCAGAATCGATCACAAACGCCTCGGTAGCAACTGTGAGAATAAAGCCAGCTTTTGAAGGGATAAACTTATGTCATATTATGTCTATAAGTCTTATGAGATTTTAGTGGGATAGTTATACCCTCAGCCATATGGCTGGAGAGGGTATATATCATTTGATACGGCCAAAACGTGCCTCATCGAAATAATGCTTTTAGACCCTAGGTCTCTTTCGCCCAAATCAGTTTCAGGATATTTAGAACCGATCTAGCGATGTCCGTCCGTCCCTCCGTCTGTCTGTCTGGTTGGTGCGCACGATAACTCTCGAAGGGAGTATCCAATTTGATCCAAACTTGGTACATCGAAATATTATTGTCAAACTTAGATCGAGTTCGGAGGTGGGCAATATCGGTCCACTCCTTTTGGAACCTCCCCCACAAAATTTTGAATAATTATAACTCTTATAAAGTATGATGTGAGTGTTAGATTGTCTTCAAATTAAACACAGAAGATCGTACACTCCTTCTGGTACTTCCCCCACAAAGAGTAAAAAATTTGAATATCCATGAAGCTCATAAAACGCGATATAGACTTGACACATCTCAATATTTCCATAAACACAAGATCTTTTATAAAAATGTTAGAGACCGCTCCATTCCTTCTGATATCTGCCTCACAAAGGGTCAAAGTATTGAATAACCAAAAAGGATCATAAAATCCGAAATAACCACGCGGTTCTCTTTAAATTACACACATCACATTATTTCTACTAACACAAGATCTGCTGTTAAATTGGGATATAGCGGTCCACTCCTTTTGGTACCTCCCACACAAAGGGTCAACATTTTGAATATCCATGAAACTCTTAAAACCCGAAATTAACGTTCTAATATTTCTATCAACGAAAGATCTATTATACATATGTTAGAGGTCGTACCATTTCTTCTATTACCTCCCCCACATAGGGTTGAAGTTTTTTGAAAAACAAAACGCTCAAAGAAGACGAGACAAGCATTCAAGATGATGTATATCTGCCAACCCCTTCTTGTACCTCACCCACAAAGAGTTACAATTTCCAATACTTATATCTGTTATAACTTGCAAAACAAGTCGGCGATTTTTTACAACTTGCTGGATCTAAATGTTTCTCTTAACCAGAAATCTGATATGAATATGTAATTAATCGAAATTTATGATTTCGCATAAAAATAAATATAAATGTTCGATTTCCTTCAAATTTTGCACATGCCAATATTTTTATATGTATTAGATGAAATATAAAAATGGAATATTTCGGTCCGCTATATCTGTTACCGCACGCTATTCCCACATTGTCCAAAGATTGGCACACACAGGAAGTAGTCGATATAGCCCAAATCTGACAAAATCAGTCGGCAAAACTGACTGATATTGTTTTACTTGTTTTTTTACTAATTTTTACTAAATTTACTATAATATGTTCAATATCGAGTGCCGTAAATATTTAATATGATAACAAAAAATGACATTTTGGCCAAAAAATATTGAGTTCTGAATCACTGTGCATGGATTGAAATCCCCACCTTGGGCCATTACTTTTTTAAACAAACAAGTCAGTCTTAAATTGCTAAAATTAAGAAAATTCTGTCTTCTTGTTTCGCTTAATTTCGGTAGTCAAACTTGAACTTCTTGGCGAAAGCTTATTCCATTTTGAATCTAGCCACACACAATTTTTTAATTGGAGTCCAAGCAACGCGAAGGATTATTCCCCGATATTTTGGAAGTTTAAGCTTAAAATATCACGGGGTAAGTAAAAACTGGTATGAAAATATAAATGGCAGAAGCATTGTGAAATAATACAGAGAAGGAACATTTGATGCTGATGACGCTTGATCCATCAATCCATTCTAAATTTTAAATAATCAGTGAAATATATATACTTGTGAAAAGAAATAGTGACAATTTTAATTATAGGTTAGATTCATAAAACATTTGTCCCTCAATTTTAGACATATTTCAACCGAATATCCTGCAGTAATATTTAAAGTTTGAAGAGAATCGGTGCAAAATTTTATCCTCAGCCAATGTTCGATAATAAAAATATATGTCACATATTCATATCAGATTTCTGGCAAGTTGTATAGAATCGCCAACTTGTTACTCAAATTATGGCACATATTGTGAGGCTTTGTGGGTGAAGTACCAAAAGGGGTTGCTAGATATATGTCATCTTTACAACATATCTCGCGTTAGCAAAAATTTTTGGATGTATGAAATTTGAAGAGAGTTGGATGCTTATTTCCCGTTTTATGTACGTTTTGTTTTTCAAAATCATGAACCTGATGCTTTTTTCGGATTTTATGATCGCTTTGGTTATTCAAAATTTTGACCCCTTCTGGGGGAGGTACCAGAAGGAATGATCCGATCTCTACCATCTTTTTAAGATATCTTGTGTTAATGGAAGTAATGAGATGTACAAAGTCCGAATGGAATCGGATGTTAATTTCGGGTTTTATAAATCGGTATTAAAAATGTTGACCCTTTGTGGGGGGGGGGGGGGGGGCGTACGAGAAGGAGTAAACCAATATATTCCATCTTCACACCAGACTTTGGGTTAATAAAAATATTTTGATATTTTGAGCGAATTGGATACTATCTTCAAGAGTTATCGTGTACACCTGCCAGCCATACAGACGGACGAAAACCCTTAAATCGACTCCAAATGTCTTGAAACTGATTTGGTCCAAAGGGAACTAGGGTCTAAAACTGATATTTCGATGAGGCACGTTTTGGCCGCATTAAATGATGTATACCCTCTCTAGCCATATGCCCTCAGCCATAATACAATTTTTAATAAACATGGAAAACAATTTTTGAATGTGAAATGTTTGTTATTTCCGAAAGAGCTAATAAGCTATTCGACGTAATAGGAACATATGCTTCGTTCCAGATCTATGATGATTATAAGGAAAGAGGAGCATCTACGATGATTTGATGTGGGGATATTTCTTAGGGAAAGATTCACTTGAGCATACGGGTCTCAATAACTTTAGCACAAATTGTAGTGTTGTAGGGTAGTAGATGGTAGGTCCGTCCTACTATAGCCTTTGCTTACTTGTTTTTATATAACCCTTTTCGAAGTCATATCATGAACTCTATAGCAATGTTGTTTGATACGAGAAGTCCAAATGCTTCTGTCAAATCTGGAGGAAACCCATAAAATAGTTTTCTCCGATTCCAGATTATAATTGTTTTGAAGCCACAATACCCATTCAAAAGAGGTTCCTAAAGGTTCCTACATGTAAACTACATCACTATGCTTATTTATATTGGTAGATCTAAACGATTATTTGTTACGGGTGGTTCTGCTAAATAAGCATAGTGATGTAGGGTATCATATAGGATCCCGCCCGACCTTTGACTTTTGTTTAGTGGTTATCTCTATTTTCATAATCTACTGGGTTTTTCCTTCAATTGTGAAAAAATTGAAATGTATTGCACAGTGTTTTGATTATTCAAAAATTCGACAGTTTGTGGCTGAGTTACCAGAAAAAAGGGGGGGGGGGGGGGGGGGGGGGGGGGGGCGTTTTTGCTAATATTTTCGCACTTGACTGAAAATTTGATATAATTTTTATTCGAAGTTTAAAGTAAATCTGCCTTATGGTGTGACGATCTGCCGATTGGTAATTGGCCACGCCATCAACCCATACTCCGTTACGAAGTCGCAAGAGTGTTGGTAAAGTCTTATTTTTTCTTATTTTGGAGATTTAGAGCAGTAGCCTTAGGTTTTGCATTCGGATCTGTTCATGGCCTGTGCTGCCACTTACTCGGTAAGAAGAATGTAAGTTATTATATTAGTAATCGTTTGGCATAACATAAAAAAAAACAAAACTTTGCTGTGAAAAAAAGATCTGCCAATAGAACTTGAGTCGAACCTGGAGAGTTTCTAGTGTATAATTCGCATATGCTAATTTGCAATAAGTTCGAAATATATACTACTTTCCAGAGAACGGCCCTTGTAAGCCATCATCCCACACCAAATATGCCTGATGAGCCGCTTAACCAACGGCGAAACGCGTCGCATAGTGGTGAGTGTGTGATAGTGTCTATCTGGCTTTCCTTTTCACTGCAAATTTCAGATCATTAAGCTCGTCTCGAAAGAGAAAAACAAACACATAACTCATTATTTTTGGCCTACTGGTAGTGTAGAGGGTAGTCATTACGATTAGTGGCACATTTGACTACTATATACCCTCTACCCTACCTACATTTTTGCTGTGTTCTAGGAAAACTTGTCCCATCTTTATTGTATATCTAGTATTAACAGAATTATTGAAATACGCCCTTTTTACAAAATAATGGTAAGGAAATTCACATTTATTGAAAATTTCGATCCTTTGTGGTGAAGGTGGGGTGGACCGATACATTCCATTTTTATAAATTTTTTGTTTTTGCCAAATTTTGCGACCAATATTTTTTTTACAAAAATTCTCCCTTATCTTATCAAAGTCAAATATATGAGAGGTTTTTGTCATATTCTTAGATTCACAATTTTAGGTCCTGTGGAATTTTTTCCCCAAAATCTGATCTCACGAATTGACGTTTTTTCTACAATGAAGGTATTATCTTTGAATATGAATGGTCATTTTTTTTTTTTGTTTGAAAGGCCCGAGAATGACCTTTAAAAAAATATAATTTGAATTTGTTATCAATAATCATACGGGTTTTTTGTTTTTATTTTTAATTTTATTTTTTAGCGAATAGACCTCAATTCAAAATTTGTTTGCACAGTCCCGAAAAAACAATTTGCGAATAAAGAATAACGCTGTGCCATTGAAAATTAAGAAAACCTGAATTATGAATGAACCAGATTGGTATGTCAAATTCAATGATGTTCAACGTCATGATGCCTCGGAGATTTTTCGCGAATATTACAAACAATTTCAATGGCGCTATGATGGTCGTGATTCCCTACTCGATATTGGTTCCGGTAATGGTGATGTTCTAATGGACTTTATTTATCCCAACATGCCAATGAATTTTCAACGTCTCGTTTGTTCCGATATAAATCCTAAATATGTGGACTATGCCGAGCGCCAGTATGGCCATCTGCCCAAGGTGGAATTTAAAGTTTTAGATATTGCCACCAACAAAGAGTTACCCAAAGATTTGGAACAACAATTCGATCATGTTGTCTCATTTTATGCCCTAATGTGGCTACAGAATCAAAGGTGAGTACGATGGCAGATCATTTTTTTGGAAAATAAATTCAGAATATTTTTGTTATTTTTTTAGACAAGGCTTTAAGAATATTTTTAATCTTCTGAGGCCGAATGGCGGCGACTGCCTTTTGGTTTTCTTGGCTACCCACATTATCTATGATGCCTACAAGATGTTGAGTCAAATGGATAAGTGGCACAATTACATGTCGGATGTGGATACCATTATCTCACCCCTACATCATGTCAAAAATCCGGATGAAAAAATTGCCGCCATAATGACAGATGTAGGATTTTGTAAATTCGAGGTCAAGCTGTTGCAGAAAAGTTTTGATTATGATAGTTTGGAGGTTTTTAAAGGTAGGCAGAGCTAATTGTTATATATATCTCCAAAGTTGAAAAAATAATTGTCTATTGCTTTTCCAGCCAACATGAAAGCCGTCAATCCATTTTTGCCACGAATACCTGTGTCATTACATGACGAGTACATGGACGATTTGATGCTAATGGTTTTAAAACTTAAGGGCTTGACACCCCAGCAACAGGATGCCAAGGCAAAAATCTCAATACCCTATGGGTTAATTGTGGTTTTTGGTCGAAAACCGTCATGTTCCATGTATCAGAGTTTTAAAAAGAATGTTTTAGGAATGTGTCGCCCGGAAAATAAATAAAAGATATTTAGATTTAACAAAATTGGAAAAAAATACTGGAGGCAAGAAAAATACATTCTTCCATCTCTTTGGAGAGAACATTACGCAATATATCCGTTAATATTTTTCAATGCATCTAAATATTAGAAAAACATTTAAAATTTCCCATTCGTTTCACGCCTAAAACTATGCGCCATTCTTATATTTTATAGAAAAGTAGATGGAGCTTGGTTATATTTCCCTAAAAGAAGATTGAAAATGGGTGGGTCATTTATTTATTTATTCAAATGGAATTTGATTTCACAAAGTCCTCGAAAATATATTTTGAATCAAAATTCACAAACTTTTTGGCTGCGAGTTTTTGAATTCCATCAGAGTCCCAATGTTTTGGAAGAAAATGTGCCAAAGAACGAAAATTTACAAAAAATATTCTTAAAAATCCACAATTTTTTCCAGGACCAAGTCCAAAACTATACGTTTATTCCTTAAAAGTATCCAAAAAAGCCACAAATGTTCTCTGAAAAACTACTTTTTGTTCAGGAGTGTCTTCACAAAGCCATTATTTCGGCTAGGAGGAAATTACAATTTTAACTCAGTTTTGAAGGAAATCCTAATCCTAAAATTTTTAAAATATCATAATTTTTTATTCATCGTAAAAACTGTTCTTAAAAACACAAATTTTTGACCGGAAATCTTCTTAAAAAATTTATAACTTTTAAGCAGAAAGTCCTTCAAAATTTTTTCTGTTAATCAAGTAAAAACATTAAGTTCGGGCGGGCCGAACTTTTAATACCCTCTACCATTGGGTAAAGTATAAAAGTATCTGAATTCAAACGTGTTCCACTTTGAACGAAGCCCGTAAGACCGTTTGGATAATGCTGTTAAACTTATCAAAAAACTATAAAGTGGGTGGCCGTTATATGGGGGCTATACAAAAAGGGAACCTCTATTTTATACTTCAAGGATTGTCATCTACCAAATCTTCTAAAATACCAAATTCGAAAAAAATGTCGTGGGTAAATGTGACTAGGATTATCAAAATACCGAATATCGGTGGGCATCGTTAAGTGGACCTAAATATTCAATGTTCTGCCACCGGAGCTAGAACCCATTATGACCAACAAATACCAATTTTTAGACAAATACGTGGAAAAAAGCGACAAAAATCATCAAAATACCGAATATCGGGAGGTACCGCTGGAAACCACAAGTGGCTATCGTTAGAGCACTCCAGCATTTAAATGTGAATAAATCTTTTGTGTCTCGTATCATCGCTCTTTACCGTGATACTGGTAGCGTAGCCCGACGTCAAGGAAACGGACGAAAAATAAAAGAGCAACATCAGCAGAAATGGTTTGAAAAGTAAAGAACGACTTGATCGAAACCTCCGTCGCTGTGGCCGATAAATGACTCTTGAGCTGAACATATCGCAATATTCCATTCGGCAAATATTGAAAAATGAGCTCGGGGTAAAGCATTTGAAATTCCAAAAAGTGCAAGAACTTACACCGCAACAGAAAAAAAATAAAAAAGAGCTACAGAGCTGCTTCGCTTGGCCGAAAGTGGTGAACTGCCGAATTTGGTTTTCTCCCATCTCCGATGAGAAAACATTCATTATCCAGCAGTTTGTTAAAAAACAAAATGATCGTGTTTACTTGCCAAAGAGGTCAGCTGAAAATGTGGACCTTCGGTTGGGCACCAGAACTCAAGCGCCGGCCATGGTGATGTTGCGGGCCGCCATAACAGCCGATGGTCGCTCTCAGCTCGTATTAATCAACCATGGCATCAGAATAAATGCCGAATATTATCGCGAAAATATTTTGGAGGGTGTATTAAAGGCATGGGCACGCAAACATTTTGGCCGCAGACCTTGGACATTGCAACAGGACTCAGCACCATCGCACTCAGCACGCGCCACCCAAGAATGGTTACAAAATGCTTTCAGTCAATAAAATTAAAAAAAAAATGTAAAAAGTATGGCGTTTGACTTTGTTGCAGTTTTTTATCTAACCCTGTATACTTTATGGGTCTACAAACGGAATGACAAAGTAAATATACCCATTGAACAATAAAGAGAAGGTAGGTCAACTTTGAAAAAATTGCAAGTATAGAGGTCTACCTGTTTGGCTTGTAATGTCAGAATTAGTATCAAAAAAATAAAAAATCAAACAACTTGTTGCATTTATTTTGAATAAATAATTGAAAACCGCGATAACTGAATGAAAGGTCAATACTTCTTTTCAAAATCATGTACTATATATCTCTAAAGGATTATTTCGCTACAAAAACTCTAGATTTTGTCGATGCATACGTTGAAATAAACATTTTGAAAACACCCGAATTTGAATATTTTCTGAACAATTTTTTTGTTATTGAAAAGAAAACACATACATAAACAAATAAAGACGACATATTAGGCCAAGGAAATAAAAAAATTAAAATCATATGGTATCATAGCCCTACCTTGATACCATTGTACCATGAATATACCCTCCTTTTCAAGGTAAAAACATATAAAATTTAGGGAGGTTCTTCAAAAAAAAATAATAATAATAAATAAATAAAAACATCTTATTTTTTGGTTACGAATTCCTCACAAAATTTAAAGAGAATCCAGTCTTTTTGGTCACGAAATCATAAAAATTTCTTAAAAATTTGTTTTTAAATATACATTGTTTGGTGCAGAGGTTCTTAAAAAAACTTTCTTTCAGGTAAGGCGGACTTTACGATACCACTATTCATATTCAGTGGAGCTACTCGTGACAAATAAAAAGCTCAATAAAAAGCAAATCGGACGAATATATATATATATATGGAAGCTATATCTAAATAGTGACCGAAATGGTCGTAGTCTCCTACAAAAATCCTCTCGTAGTCTCCCCAAAAAATTTATATAATCTTGATCAGAAAAATGTAAGTCGATTTAGCGTCCGTCTTTTGAAATCACGATAAAGTCCTCTTTATTTAAATTAGAGCATTGAAATTTGGCACAATTTTATGCGGTCTGATTGGTATTGAATATTGGTCCACGTTTAGGTATAGCCTCCATATAACGGTACATCTCGATTTACGGTATTTTGAAGGTTTTTGCTAGCATTTCCAACCTAATTAGCTTTTCATTTGAAGTTCATGTCTTTTAGCAAAAAATATTCGATTCAGGTCCACTAATTGGTGTAACGGTTCCTCCCGATTTTCGATATGTTTGAGGCTTATGCCACAATTTTAACCAAATCAGCTGAAATTTTATTAATTAATATAGCCCCAATATAACGATACCGTCAGAATTTCGGAAGATTATAATATGGGTTTCGATTTTTGGGTTACGTTTTTATTTTAAATTATTAAAATATTTTGATATTCTAAGCTTACATATTCTACTCTGTATTTTACTTTGATAAAGATAGTGGTGGGGGGTATAATTTTCCCGTAGCCATAAGTATAACTGAATTTGACAATCAAAAAAGTCATCATGCCATAACGCAACCCTGAATTTCGAATACCACAATGTACAAATGCAGTCATGTAATGTGGCGTTTCCACGGCACTTGATTCGCTCTCTATTCGTTGTTTGGCCCTAAACTACGGAAAAACTACTTAATTCTCCACACAAAATTTCCTGAGCGAACACTCATATTTTTACATTGTTCAAATCAAATCACTCTCAGAACAACGAAAAAATATGTCCCATCACTAAAAAATGAGAGCATTTATCGAAAATGTGTCATATTTGTCAACCGCTTGTAAAAAAATAAACAAATTATTGTGTCCGTTGCGAAAGTAATTGAAGAATTTTTAATTAATAAAAATGTGTGTGAATTCAATGGAAACGATAAATTAAATGTGAGCGAACAAAAACGCGTTTTTCATATAACCTATATTAGTTATTTTTTCATAGGAGTGTACAATGGAGAAAAAAAAGAAATTTGTGAAAAAACTAATTATAAGTCGAAGAAGGCTCGCGTCTTTCACCTTGTTTGAAAAAGACAGTTGCGATGTAAGGAAGCTGCTAACTCTGGTGAATGCCTTGGAATTCCACACATTGTATGAATCGGAACGATTGTGTTGGCAAAGGGTAATGTGTGTCTGTCCGATACAACGGAACAAGATTAATCCGTATTTCTTGAGAGAACTGCGAATTGTAAATATTTGACCATTGAGTTTTTGCAATCTTTTCAGTTTCGATCTCAATACTTTTGGGAAATAGATTGCCAAAAAGCAGATGAGAAATGCTTCAAAAATAACTTTCGGGTCAGCAGAGAGGTTTTCAATAAATTGTGTGAATTGCTAAATGGGCTACAAAAATCTAATACAAATATGCGAGAGGCAATACCATTGGAAAAAAGAGTTGCAATAGGTTTATATACCTTGGGATCTTCTGCCGAGTACCGCACAATAGCAAACATGTTTGGAGTTGGAAAAAGTACAGTGTGTAAAATACTCTTGCAGTTTTGTAATGAGGTCTGGAGAATTCTTGCTCCAATTTATTTAAAAAATTTCCCCTTAACAAGAGAAAAGATAGAAGTACTCTGTCAAGAATTTGAAATACTAGGGTTTCCGCAATGTATAGGTGCTCTGGGTGAGTTTTGAAAAGTTGTATTTAAATTATTATTATTATTATGTTAACGTTTGCAGACGGTTGCCACATTGAGGTTCATCCATCCAAGGAAGACGCTACAGATTACTACAACTACAAGGGATGGTACTCAGTCGTACTCCTTGCATTGGTAGATGCGAGGTAAGTACTAACACTTACATTTTCTTTACTTTTTATATCTTACGCCTCACTATGGTGCAGGGTATTGTGTCGTGAGATAGACGTCTACTTGTGTGTGCATCAAATGGGATGAAATTTGACACAAGTGGCCGAATTAAGCCAAAAAGTAAACCTATTATATTTGGTGCACATAACAACAGTATTGTAACGTATCATAAAGTCGACCGGTCCGACTTTTATCCTTTTATAACTGCTTTCTACATACTTTTTTATTTTAGATGTCGTTTCATTTATGTTAGTTGTGGGAGTCCAGGACGTTGCAACGATTCTCAGATCTTTGAAGGTTCTTCCCTCAAACAGCAGCTTAACGAATGCAGTCATTTAAAGGAAGTAAAACGAAATATTTTGGGCGTTGAGGTTCCTGCCCTTATAATCGGCGATTCGGCATTCAAATTAAGCGACAAGTTGATGAAACCTTATCCATTTCAACTATCACAAGATCTCGAGCAAAAATGCTTTAATTACGCATTGTCAAAATCACGCAGAGTAGTTGAAAATGCCTTTGGCCACCTTAAGGCACGTTTCCGACGAATCGGAAAAGGCATAGATAATGCTCTAAAGTATGCCAATGCAGTCATATTATCTTGTTGTGCTCTTCATAATTTTCTCAGCGAGCACAATGATGCTGTTAACGACAAGTGGTTGAAAGCATTACAATCAGTTGAGGCAAATAGATCCTATCCTGAAGAAATAACAATTCTTGCAGATCAAAGCAGCGGTCATAATGGCGAAGAAATACGAAATGCTATTTCAATATATTTATGTACGTATTATTGTTCTTAGTAAAATGCTATTGTCAAACAAGAGTTGACATAAGCACATTAAATATATGTTGGCATTCATTTTTTAAATATATATTCTTTACTATTTTTTAAGCGCAAAAAAATTGTTGTAACGAAGAGGATAACTTGTACAATATTGATGAAGCTAATTCATTTTTAAATGTGGAGGAAGAATATACGTTCCCTTCTGGAGAAACCGCCTGTAATTTTCAAGATATAAATTAGTATTATTCATTTTCATTTTTCATTTATTTCGTCAGAATTCATTATGTTTCATTAATATAGTTTATGTTATTTTTAGATAACTATATACATATGTAAGCTGCATTTTGAAGATTTTGTTTAATTGTTTTTGAAAATGAAAAAAAGGTATATGTATATATATATATATACATTTTTTTTTCATATCTACTAGCATTCCGCCCATACATACTCAAAATAATTTTTGTATATATTTTTAATTTTAGAAAAAACCAAATGTTACATTGAATGATAAATAAAATGCATAACATTGAAACGATAAAAATTAAAACTAATCAAAGTATTTAATTAAGATAGTAAGAGCAAACTATAATTAAAGGAAATATAAGCAGTTTAAAAGAAAAGTCGTTACATATCATAAATATATATTCAATTTTAAGCATTTCTTAAAAAATCTACCAAAGCCTTTTGTACTTCCGCTTCCCTTTCCACAAAGCTTCTCAACAAAGCCTCTTTCTTCTCTTCTATAGCCTCCTTTCTTTGTTCTATCTCTATTAAAATATCAATTTTTCTTTCCACCTTTTCAGCATGCTCTTTTTCCCTTTTTCTCTTTTTCGATGATGATGTGAATGGTAATTCCGACGATAGGTCAGTTGTATTTAATTGTGAAGAGGAACTAGGAATGATTGGTGAAGAGGGTGGGGAGTTGGACATTTCGCATGTCAATATGGCATCAATATCTGTGCAATATACAACGTGAGAATAACAAATATATATTTTTTATTAATTTGATTCTTACCATTGACACTGTCCAAAACAAGGAACTCAGTATTGTAGGTCTTGCAAGGTGCTAGCAACATTTCCATTTCTTTATATAGATCCCAATCTGATGGTGAACCTCCGGTTGTACCAACTAGGCGCTTTTCCTTCCTATAAAAAGACATGGTTTTTATAAAGTAAATAAAAACATACGTTACAGATTGTAAATATTCAAAAGTAAAGAAGCTATCATCTTGCATTATGTATCTACAACAAGAGTGTTGGAAGACAAACTTTCTGTCATTCTTAACTTAAAATGACAAGTTCCGAGAATATTGTACCTATCCTTGGATAATATCGAACGAAACACATCCGCATAAGCTCCTCCCACCATGATCGAAGTCGGAGGCAATGAAACTTCATGCAAATTGAAATGTTCAAAAACATACCTAAATCTCGCAGCCATGTTGTGCATCTTGGTTTTTATTTCGTGGGATGTATACGAAAACCCATGTTTCCCGAGTTCGGATGCCATTTCTTGAAGAATGTGGCTATTTTTTCGGCATCCACGTAGCTGGCTCATAAATAATCCCCACACTTCCAACAAAGCCCGTTCACTTATTATACTCCATTTGTTGGGAGTTTTTCGGATACCTAAAACAATAAAACATTATTCTTGGTTATATTAGTATTTTTACTCACATTTTTTTTCGAATTGAGCCATTTTTATTAATTTTTCTTTAAATTAAAAAAAAAAAACGAAAAATTGTGTATAACCATAAATGAAGTTGTCAGATGTAACTACGAACGTATCGTGGGAACAGGTTAGTTCGTGTACGTGATTCTGAGAGCAAACAACGTCATTCAATTTACCGTGTGAACATGCTATAAGGAGACGACATGGTCGTAGACATTGCGTCTTTTCGATTCGATTTTTTTTCACTTTTCTCGATTGCCAGCTGATACAACAATAAAAACAATACAAAATACCATTTACATATAAATATACATTTCGCAACAAAATCGGTCATTGGCCTCAGCGTCGAGATCTTCGGTCTCATTAGACTAAAAATGTGTTTCATTATTTTCTATATTCTATGCAGTCTGCTGTTTATTTTTATTCATTTTCGTTGCAATTGACTGCAGTCGGTACGCATTTGCTATATTTTTGTCGAGCAAGTGTTCACATGTGGGGAATAATTCTTCATTCATATATATCTACGTATGCACGTATGTCGATTTTGAAATGCATTTGGTATGTATGCATTTAGTCATGTTGATATATATTTTTTGGGAGGGAACAATATCCCTTATTTTAAGTATTTAAAAGGGTGTTTATAAGTTCATCTTCGCCAATTGCAACACATGTGTTTGTCTATATCAACCTTGTATAAAATTGCATCGAATTAGGTCAAGTTCGGAGATAGACAATATCGGTCCACTGCTTCTGATATCTCCCTACAAAAGGTCAACATTTTTATAGAAAGTAATTTACGTCATAGAACAAGAAAGGATCATCCAATCTTGCTTTTACTTTGCAAGTCCTGATATTTGCAACAGTGCTAGGTCAGGTGCGAAAATGGAAAATATCAGTTCACTCCGTCAAGTACCTCCCCTAGTTTTTCTATTCCTAGTTACACGAGATCCATTGTGAAGATGACATATATCGGTCCACTCCATCTGGTACCTCCCCCACAACGGGTCAATATTTTAAATATCCATGAAGCTCATAAAACTCGAAATTTACATCCGATTTCATTCACACTTGGCACATATCAATATTTCCATCAACACAAGATCTGTTTAAAAGATGATGAAGATCGGACCATTTCTTCTGGTACCTCCACCACAAAGGGTCAACATTTTGAATAACTAAAACAATTAAAAAATCCGAAATAAGCATCCGGCTATCTTCATATTTTTTACATCCCAATATTTCTACAAACACAACATCTGCTGTGAAGATGATATATATCGGTCCAATCCTTCTGGTAACTCCCCCACAAAGGATCAACATTTTGAATACTCCATTCGGCAAATATTGAAAAAGAGCTCGGTGTAAAACCATTGAAATTCCAAAAAGTGCAAGAACTTACACCGCATCAGAAAAGAAATAGACTCAAAAGAGCTAAAGAGTTGCTTCGATTGGCCGAAAGTGGTGAACTGCCGAATTTGGTTTCCGCCGATGAGAAAACATTTGTTGCCCAGCAGTTTGTAAACAAACAAAATCATCGTGTTTTCCTGCCAAAGAGGTCAGCTGAAAATGTGCACCTTCGGTTGGCCACCAGAACTCAAGCGCCGGCCATGGTGATGGTGTGGGCCGACATAACAACCAATGATCGCTCTCCGCTCGTATTAATCGACCGTGGCATCAGAATAAATGCCGAATATTATTGCGAAAATGTTCTCAAGAGCATATTAAAGCCTTGGGCACGCAAACATTTTGGTCGCAGACCTTGGACATTCCAACAGGACTCGCTTCATTTCCAGCACACAAAATCTCCGGATACCTATCCGCTGGACTATTATGTCTGGAGTATTTTGGAAAGCAAGGTTGGCACTAAAAAATACCAAAGTGTCGATTACCTCAAGCAAGCGCTTCGCCGGAAATGGGCCAAAATACTGCAGAAAAACATTCGGGTAGCGTGTGACGGTTTCATTGACCGTTTGAAGGCCAAAATTCGTGCCAAAGGTGGCCAGTTCGAACAAATCTTAACTTATTCTAAAATGTAATGCTATTTCCGACATTTTTTGCTTTCATTTAATAAAACTATAAAAAAAAGGAAAAAATTATGGCGTTTGACTTTTTTGCAGTTTTTTATCTCACCCTGTATTTTTATCTGTATTAAATGAAGCATGAGAATGAAATACTTCGGTCGACTTTTACACTCACGCACCTTTTAACATTTTCTCAAAATTCTCATATAAAGTGAAGGAAGTAACCAATATAGTGGCGCATCGTAATATTTATATGATATTTATTTAGGCCCGATGCGAAATGGACGATATTGGTCCATTCCTTTGGAACCGACTTCAATTTGAATAATCATAAAAGAAGTCAAAATATATTTGAATAATCGACTTTGGCTGAGGGTATACATCTGTCGGCAAAGCCGACTGACTTGTTTTAGAACATACTCAGTTCTTCTCAGAGAACGTACGGCTTTGGTGTTCAAGTTCTCTATTGAATCTATAGCTTGAATCAGAGTCGACTATATTCCGGCTTAATAATATTAGTGGTCCTTTACAATCGTTACTTTTACTATAATGTTTCACTTCATCTATAATTTTATTATCACATTTTTGATCTTAGGGACATTTTCCCAATAGATTCTTTTTTATTTGTTGATATACAGAACATGGAGATTTTCGACCAGAAGCTACAATTAGATCGTAAGGTATTGAGAATTTTGCCTTGAAATCCAACTTTTGGGGTTTCCAGCCCCTAAGTTTTAGAACCATTAACATCACATCGTCCATATACTCGTCATGCATTGTTGCAGGTATTCGATCTATAAATGGATTGACAGCTCTCATATTGGCTAAAAAATCAATAAATTATTAATCTACAGAATGTAATTAGTGATTACATTTTACTTACCTCTATACACCTCAAAATTATCATATTCGAAATTTTTGTGCAGCAACTTAACCTCGAATTGGGAAAACCCAACTTCTGACATAATTTCTGCAAATTTTTGATCAGGATTCTCCACATATTGCAAAGGTGAGATTTTAGATTCCACATCAAACATATATTTAGACCACTTATTTATACGGCTTGTCATCATATAGGCATCATATATTGGATTTGAGGCCAGGAATACTAAAAGGCAATCTCCGCCCTCTCTTCGCAACAGATTGTAAATATTCTTAAGGCATTGTCTGAAAAATCTCAAATATTTTAAAAACATGTTTAAGGGAAAGTTCCTATTACACCCACCTATGATTTTGCACCCACATTAGGGTGTAAAACGAGGTAACATGATCGAATTGATGTTTCAAATCCTTGGGCAACTCTTTACACGTACCAATATCCAAAACTTTAAATTCCACCTTTGCCAGCTGACCATACTTTCGCTTAGCATAATCCACCATTATGGAATTTATATCAGAACAAACAAGACGTTGAAAATTCCACGGTACACAAGGATAAACAAAGTCCATTAGAACATCACCACTACCGGAACCAACATCAATCAACGAATCTCGACCATCGTAACGCCATTGAAATTGTTTGTAATATTCGCGAAAAATCTCCGAAGAATCATGTCGTTGAGCAGCATTGGCCTTGTCATACCAATCAGGATGATTCATAGTTTCAGCTATGAATTATTTTTTTATTTTTAAGGAGTTTAAATTAAAATTGTTATTGTTTATATTACCAGCTCTGATTCGGGACTGTGCCCCCAATTAATTAATTCGAGAGTTATTTTTCCAAAAATTATGAAAATAATTTTTTCATAAAAATAGGAAACGATTTCAATGGTGATAAGGATGGGAAGGGGGCATTTTATTTTTAAGGTCGTACTTATTATTGAGCTTTACTTCAAGATAATCGCAAAATTATGTAGAAGATGTCATTATTTTTTTCGGTATATAATTTAATTAAAACAAGTAAAAAAGCAGTAAGCTCGACCGGGTCGAACTTTGAATACCCCCACCATTTGAAACGCATTTGGAAATTTAAAAAAATAAAATTCGTTAAAAATTCTGTTAAAATCTTAAAAATACCGAATATAGGATGTCGCCGTTTTATTGGAGTCTCTACGAAGACGTAGACCAGGAAACTTTTGTTATATTCAATATTCAAATACGAAACTTGAAAAAAAAGGTCGGTAAATAAAGTAGCTAAAACCATCAAAATACCGAATATTGATAGGTAACGTTATATGGAGGTTATACGAAGATGTGGTCCTGCATAGACAATTTTCTGTCACAGGATTTAGTACCCGTTAGGAACTTCAAATACGAAATTTTAAACAATTTCGTTAAATATTGTACCTAAAATCGTCAACATGGCGAATTCAGGGAGGTACCTTTATATCGGAGCTGTACGAAGACCTGAACCTGCATACACAATTTTCGGTCACACGGTGTTGTACCTATTAAGAACTTCGAATAAGAAATTTCAAAAAAAAAAAAAATTGGGTGAATATTATACCTAAAATCGTCATAATGCCGAATATAGGGAGGTACTGATATATGAGGCCTATACGAAGACCTGGACCTCCATATACAATTTTCTAGCATAGACTGTAGTTCCCATTACTAACTCTAAAAACGAAATTTGAAACAGCTCCGGTGAATAATATCGCTAAAATCATCAAAATACCGAATATTGGGAAGTACCGTTATATGGAGGCTATACGAAGACCTGGACTTGCATAGACAATTTTCTGTCACAAGCTGTCGTACCTACTAGAAACTTTAAATTCGAAATTTCAAACAATTTCGGCGAATATTGTTCCTAAAATCGTCAAAGTACCGAATAAAGGGAGGTACTGATATATGGGGCCTATACGAAGACCTGAACCTGCATAGAAAAAATTCGGTCACAGGCTGTACTACTCATAACGAACTCTAAATACGAAATTTGAAACGATTCCGCTGAATAATGTCGTTAAAATCATCAAAATAACGAATATTGGGAGGTTGTGAGGGGGGAAAGTCGCTAAACCTCGTTTTCCCCCACACAGAAGTGTAATGCCAGGATGGTATTTTGTTTTTTTATATTTTTGTTTTTTTTTCCCCCTCCTTTAAATCTATTTTTTTTTTTATCTTTTGTTTTTTTCCAACTTGTAAAATACAGAGAATATAAATTGCATTCGAGTGATAATTTTTGGGGTACAGTAGGCAACAACATAGTCATGGGAAATGCAAAATGTGTAAACAAGGTACCGTTGTCCGACGACGGTAGGCAGTGGTCAGGACAGCGGTCACTTGGAATGAGGCAGAGAAAGGGAGAGAGAGAATCAAAAGTTGGTAAACAAGGTACCGTTGTTCGACGACGGTAACCAATGGGCAGTCAGGCGATCACTGCAGAGAAAATTGGAGATGGCAGCGAAGCCACCAATTCGCCGTGGCAGAACCCAGTCTTTAAAGGGGATGTGCTGAGCGAATTGGGGGGCAGTCAGTGAAGAACGTCGATCGCGCGCGGACAGAACATCAGGACTGCGATACCAAAGACTCGGGGTAAAAAAAAAAAACAAGGAAAAGGTGAAGCCAAGCAACGTGCTGGAAGCAGGTGGAAAAAAATCTTGGGGTAAGTTAATTTACTAAGGAACTAATAACCCCAATCCAATTCCCTACCTGTCCTAAAGTGCAAGTGAAGATTAATATATGAAGATTTTTATGATCGAGAGGGCCGGAAAGGTCTCACGAATCTAAAAATTAGTGTTTTTTCTATCGAGAGGGCCGAAAAGGTCTCACGAATCTAAAAATTAGTGTTTTGTGATCGAGAGGGCCGAAAAGGTCTCACGAATCTAAAAATTAGTGTTTTTTGATCGAGAGGGCCGAAAAGGTCTCGCGAATCTAAAAATTAGTGTTTTTTCTATCGAGAGGGCCGAAAAGGTCTCACGAATCTAAAAATTAGTGCCTTTTTTTGATCGAGAGGGCCGAAACGGTCTCACAAATCTAAAAAATAGTGTTTTTTCGATCGAGAGGGCCGAAAGGTCTCCCGACTATAAAATTTAGTGTTTCTTTCGATCGAGAGGGCCGAAAGGTCTCCCGATTTTAACATTTGAAGATTTTTATGATCGAGAGGGCCGAAAGGTCTCACGAATATAAAAATTAGTGTTTTTTTTCCGATCGAGAGGGCCGACAGGTCTCCCGACGATAAAACTTAGTGTTTCCTTCAATCGAGAGGGCCGAAAGGTCTCCCGATTTTAACCTTTGAAGATTTTTATGATCGAGAGGGCCGAAAGGTCTCACGAATATAAAAATTAGTGTTTTTTTTCAATCGAGAGAGCCGAAAGGTCTCCTGGCTTAAACGATTGAAGATTTTTATGATCGAGAGGGCCGAAAGGTCTCACGAATATAAAAATTAGTGTTTTCCGATCGAGAGGGCCGAAAGGTCTCCCGACTTTAACATTGGAAGCTTTTTATAAACGAGAGGGCCGAAAGGTCTCAGGAATATAAAACTAGTGTTTTCCGATCGAGAGGGCCGAAAGGTCTCCCGACTATACAATTTAGCGTGTCTTGCAATCGAGAGGGCCGAAAGGTCTCCCGACTCTAACATTTGAAGATTTGTATGATTGAGAGGGCCGAAAGGTCTCCCGAATATCAAAATTAGTGTTTTCCGGATCGAAAGTCTCGAGACTATAATATACGAGAGGGAAGTCTCCCGACTACAATATTCGAAATCTTACGACCTAGAGGGCTGAAAGGTCTCCCGAACCCCTTTTAGAAGTATCGAAAGGTTTCCCTGCATACCAGTTCTGACGACTTTTGCCATCGAGGGGCCTGGACAGAGGAATGCAATCCGGGGAAGGTATCAACACGCAACAACCTGTCGCCAGAGAGGCTTTCGATGACCACGAGCAGTAGTCCTTAGACGAACTACATTGTGTGTATATATAGTAAAAATAATAATAAAAGAAACCCATTGAATTTGTAAAATAGAAAAAAAAACTTGATTTTCTTCCCTCTCCGTCACTGCAAAATATAAATTTCTGTGACGAACCCTGCCACCCTGAGTATACCCCAGCAGGAGGCGGGAAACGTGTCGTTACAGTGGCGCCCGAGCAGGGACACGAGAGGTGAAATAAACTGTTATAACAGTGTTTACAAATTCATAAAGGGTACTACCAAATGGAAAGTGCGTTGCGATTGTCCTGGGCTTACAGCCTTCGCAAGGAAGAACTTATTACTTATTTGAGTGAATACGACCGGGACACCAGTGGTACGGTGGAGGAACTGAGGAGGAGATTCGCTCAATTTCTTGGGGAAGAACATTCTCCGAAGACCCTGCGGAACCTCCTTATTCTGCAGGAAAAGCACGAAGCAGCGACTTCCTCTCCCAGGTCTAAGTCTCCTAGGACTTTACCCGTGGTCACTCTGACTACGGCCGAGGGGGTGGAGTTATCTCCCACAAAAGTCGAGCATCAAATGGAAACTTTGAATTTGCAGAATGAACAGAATACAAGATTCATAGGGGAACGTTGCCCACACCACAATGAAGAGATGACGGATCAACGCCGGGGGGCCCCATCTAGCGGAGCCTCACTGTCGCCACACGGATCGGTAATGAAAGGAATAGCAGAGCAAATTCGTAAATGGAATGTGTCATACGAAGGTGAACGGGAACCATGGGAATTTATCGAGAGGCTTGAAGAACTCACCACCATGCATGAGATAGAACAGGATTTACTACCTGCCGTAATGCCAGAAGTCCTCGTGGGAAGGGCCCTCATTTGGTTCCGGAACAACAATCGGAATTGGAAATCATGGCCGGGTTTTAAGCAGGATCTGTTGAAATTCTTCCTGCCTCGAAGGTATTATGAACATTTGGACGACGAAATACGGAAAAGGAGACAGAAGCCTCGCGAAACATTTAAAAATTATACACTGCACATGCAAAATCTAATGAGGCATAGCGACCTGAGTGAGGAACAAAAACTGGATCGAATTTTTAGAAATGCATTGGCAGAATATCAATGGTATATAAGGAGACGTGATTTCCTCACCTTAAGCGACCTGTTGGAAATGGCGGAGGACATGGAGAGCATACCCCCTCTGACGACTCAGCCCCGGGAACAGCATCGCAGGATGCACCCGGAAGAAAGGCAGCAACAGCAGTTACCCCGGATTAACCCTAGAACTGCATGTAGACGCTGCGGGCAAGACGGTCATTTCGCATATAACTGCCAACGAGAACCAGTCATATTCTGCTGGGTATGTGGACAGAGCGACTTGAGGTCAGACCAATGCTGCCGCCGCCGATCGGGAAACGGCGATCGGACTCGTATGCAAAGGGGGGTTACGAGTCCCGGAGAGAGCCAGACTCAACAATGAAATCGTTCCTCGACCTCGACACCACACGCCTAGTTGCTACGATTAACATCGGAGGCCGAAAGGCAGAGGCGACAGTTGACACGGGAGCCACTCGATGTTTTGTCAGTGAGGAGTTTGCCCGTTTGATATCGGATGGGAGCAAGTGGATGCCGGAGAGATTGGTAGTTACCTTGGCGGATGGATCACAGCGACACATTAATCACGCATTGGAAGCAGAGATTTGGATTGGTAATAGGAATATTCGAGAAAAGTTGCTGGTGATGCCTAATGCGACGGAAGATGTGCTCCTCGGATTGGATTGCCTTGCGAAGTGTGACGCAGAAATCACCTGTGCGGGATTGACATGCAGGTTTGAAACTAAAGAGGCGGAACAACATAATATGGAAGAAATCAATCGACAGTTGACAGCTGGGCAAGGCGGAGATTCGGAGGTCCGTAAAACGTCGAATGTAACAGAAAGGAACAGCTCGGGTGGGAACATTATGATGTGTGACCATGATTCA